CTTATTGTTCCTCCCTGTAGATTCAAGTATCAAACAGGGGAGAGTCAGCTCTGCAGTCCATCTCTCTTTATTCCCTCTGGCATTGTGGGCGATTACATTGGGCGATCACCTGTAGTACCCACTGGTGTTGACAAGGTGTCATTACTCCCAGTACCCCTTTCAAAAGCCACACGGTTGAACCATGCATGTACGAAATACAAATACACACTGTTTATAGTAACAGTTAACTTGGTATTTGCTGAGTGTATACAGTCGCGGTACGCACAACTAGTACCTAGCTGTTATAGCTACCATTACACACTGCAAATACACAATGTTGATACTCACAGTGCACACGGCAATTACACACTGTTTATACTCACAGTACACGCTGCAAATACACACTGTTTATACTCACGGTACACTCTGCAAATACACACTGTATATACTCACAGTACACACTGCAAATACACACTGTTTATACTCACAGTACACACTGCAAATACACACTGTTTATACTCACAGTACACACTGCAAATACACACTGTATATACTCACAGTACGCACTGCAAATACACACTGTATATACTCACAGTACGCACTGCAAATACACACTGTTTATACTCACAGTACACACTGCAAATACACACTGTTTATACTCACAGTACACACTGCAAATACACACTGTATATACTCACAGTACACACTGCAAATACACACTGTTTATACTCACAGTACACACTGCAAATACACACTGTTTATACTCACAGTACACACTGCAAATACACACTGTTTATACTCACAGTACACACTGCAAATACACACTGTTTATACTCACAGTACACACTGCAAATACACACTGTTTATACTCACAGTACACACTGCAAATACACACTGTTTATACTCACAGTACACACTGCAAATACACACTGTTTATACTCACAGTACGCACTGCAAATACACACTGTTTATACTCACAGTACACACTGCAAATACACACTGTTTATACTCACAGTACACACTGCAAATACACACTGTTTATACTCACAGTACACACTGCAAATACACACTGTTTATACTCACAGTACACACTGCAAATACACACTGTTTATACTCACAGTACACACTGCAAATACACACTGTTTATACTCACAGTACGCACTGCAAATACACACTGTTTATACTCACAGTACGCACTGCAAATACACACTGTATATACTCACAGAACACTGCAAATACACACTGTATGTACACACAGTACACACTGTAAATACACACTGTATATACTCACAGTACACACTGCAAATACACACTGCAAATACACACTGTATATACTCACAGTACACACTGCAAATACACACTGTATATGCACACAGTACACACTGCAAATACACACTGTATATACTCTCAGTACGCACTGTAAATACACACTGTATATACACACTGCAAATACACACTGTATATACACACTGCAAATACACACTGTATATACTCACAGTACACACTTTTAGTACACATTGCATATACACATTGCTAGTATACGCTGAATATACTCACAGTACACACTGCAAATACACACTGTATGTATTCACAGTACACACTTTTAGTACACATTGTATATACACCCTTTGTCTATATATATATATATATATATGTATACAGTAATCCCTCGTTTATCGCGGGGGTTACGTTCCGAAAATGACCCGCGATAAGTGAAATCCGCGAAATAGAAAACTTTTTTTTTTTTTTACAATTAGCAACTATTACATGTATACAAATACAGTGGCTCGCGTGTAGGCCGTTTCACTGCTCTTCAGACTGGGCCGCTGCATCCTGACTGCGCTCTGCAGTGTTCTCTTCTTCTGAAGCCCGCGGTGCAGGTGTGTTTGTTCGGGAGAAGAACATAGTGATAGGCAGCTGTTGTCGCTCTTTTTTCTTCTTTGCAAAAAGATCCTTGTACACCGACATGCCACCATCGATGACGTTGGAGAACTGTAATGAACGGCTCGGGAGTGAGTTTTTAGCGAATCAGAATGCAGAGCACAATGCACCAAAAAAAAAAAAATGCAATATGAAAATCCGCGAAATAGCGAATCCGCGATAAGTGAACCGCGAAGTGGCGAGGGATCACTGTATACGGGCTGTGAACATAAACGCATTAATCTATGCGATTAATGTGGCCAAGATTAATGCGACAAAATACTCTAACGTAGTTAAGGTACCTTTGTTTATCAGAAGTAGACGGCGGAAACGAAACGGCCGCTAGCTGCAGTCGGTTACATCGGAGAAAGCAGGACGGTAGCTCAAGATGAGACAGCTTTTTGCATTGGAAGTAAAACCAACAGAGGCACCACATACAGCAGAGAACAAAGTGAAGGGGGGTGAGTGGCAAACGGACCCCTTAAAGCACCGCTATGCTAAGCTAAGCTAGCTGGAAGAGTTGCTAGTTCAACATATTCCACTCGGTGTAATTCTGCCTCCAAGGTGATCAGATGTGTGTAGTTTTGTGTTTAAAATAACATTAACAATAGACAACAGTGTCTAAATAGTATATATATATATAATATATATAAGATGAACGAATTCCAAAATGTGCGATTAATTAGTTACATTTTTAATCCATCGACAGCCCTAATATACATATACATGTACATATATGTTTATATGTACATGTATATACCTTATGTGCACTGACCAGCTCCTCTGACTGTTCTTCATCTACTCATCAATTTCCTCCGTCCCACCTTCACCTGTGCAGGTGTCCCCGGTCCGGAGGAGATAAGTCCCGAGCTCCCACTCTGTGTCTGGTGTGCGGCTCCATGTTGTGTTCTCAGAGTTACTGCTGTCAGACGGAGGTGGACGGAGAGGACGTAGGTGCCTGCACCGCCCACACCTTCACCTGTGGAGCCGGCCTTGGTCTCTTCCTCAGGTAACACACCAGGGCCCTATTTTTCCTACCGTGGTTCAACAAAGTCGATCAAATGTCACATTATCCAGATCAATTTAACGAGATGATTAATGTCAGCCTGTCTCGGTTCCTCCAAGGCTGATTCACGCTCATTTTAAGTGCCTCATCACTCTAATCAATCAGATTATAGTTCTTTAAAGGGAATTCATCACCATCCAATTTCAGAATAAGTAGATAAATACATGTATTATGTATCATATGTATGTAGATGACCAAATAGAACTAGGAGTTTTATTGTGTGTGTGTGTGTGTGTGTGTGTGTGTGTGTGTGTGTGTGTGTGTGTGTGTGTGTGTGTGTGTGTGTGTGTGTGTGTGTGTGTGTGTGGGCGAATCAGTGTGTCATCAGACATTTGATCAATTGAAGCAGTGAAACGTGGAACATGAAAAGTGTCAAATAAACCAACTGAACTTTATGAAGAACACAACATGCAGCGGCTTCCCTTTATCAGTGAGGAAGAGAGCTGCCTTGTTTTCCGGGGGAGTGGCGAATTAATCCAGCCGCTCAAATGAAGCTGCGCCGGAGCAGGTTCAAGTTTGTGGATGTGTTGCTGTGGTGATTTGAACCGAAAAGCCTGATCCTTGTCATCTTATCCGGCTAACGCAGCTAGCCACGTACGAGGAACGGGGCCCTGTGCTCTACTGCAGATGCACACACTACACACTGTACACTGTACACACTCTGACTGTGTGTCTGTGTGTGTGTCTGTGTGTGTTGCGTGCAGGGTAAGAGAAAGTCAGGTGCTGTTTGTAGCAGGTAAAACAAAGGGCTGCTTCTATCCTCCTCCGTACCTGGACGACTACGGGGAGACGGACCAGGGCCTCAAGTAGGTGCTTTCCTATAGTGATCGGTTTGTTTACCTGCAGGCGGGGAACCCCCTCCCTTTGTTTATTTATTTATTGATTAGTTTGTTTACCTGCAGGCGGGGGGACCCCCTCCCTTTGTTTATTTATTTATTGATTAGTTTATTTGTTTACCTGGTGGCGGGGGAACCCCCTCCACCTTTGTTTATTGATTTATTGATTAGTTTGTTTGTTTACCTGCAGGCAGAGGAACCCCCTCCCTTTGTTTATTTATTTATTGATTAGTTTATTTGTTTACCTACTGACGGGGGAACCCCCTCCACCTTTTGTTTATTGATTTATTGATTAGTTTGTTTGTTTACCTGCAAGCGGGGGAACCCCCTCCACCTTTGTTTATTGATTAGTTTATTTGTTTACCTACTGACGGGGGAACCCCCTCCACCTTTTGTTTATTGATTTATTGATTAGTTTGTTTGTTTACCTACTGACGGGGGAACCCCCTCCACCTTTTGTTTATTGATTTATTGATTAGTTTGTTTGTTTACCTGCAGGCGGGGGAACCCCCTCCACCTTTGTTTATTGATTAGTTTATTTGTTTACCTACTGACGGGGGAACCCCCTCCACCTTTTGTTTATTGATTTATTGATTAGTTTGTTTGTTTACCTGCAGGCGGGGGAACCCCCTCCACCTTTTGTTTATTGATTTATTGATTAGTTTGTTTGTTTACCTGCAGGCGGGGGAACCCCCTCCACCTCTGCGTTGAGCGCTACAGGAAGATTGAGCGTCTGTGGCGTCAGCACGGCATCGCTGAGGTCATAGGTCACGCTCAGGAGGCCAATCAAACGCTGGTAGCCATCGACTGGCAGCACCTGTGATGATTGGCTCCTCTCTGCGTTTGCCCCGCCCCTTTTCAGTTACTGCGCCGCATGTTAACAAATCAGCTTCCTGCAGCCCAGTGCTGACTTCAGATCAGCGTTCAGGGATTCTTTCAGGACTTTTGGTTTCGGTGTGATAGAGGATCTTTACCATTGACATCTCACCGTGTCTGTTTCCCTCCAGTACTCAGACTGTTCCCCCTTTATTCTTGCTCACACAGACACACATTTACGAACATTTCTTTTTTAAATAGTTTTTTATTGATTTTTTTCAAATTTTCATTTGTTTCAGAAAATGATCCGACAAAATGAAAAATCATTACTTCAACTCATTAACATTGTACCAGAATGAAGCCCCGCCCACCTGCTGCTGTCCCACACAGGTTGATTGTCAGGTTAGGGTCTTTAATCTTGAATCCCGGATTCAGAAAATGCTTCAACCCCCAAGATGCATCTCATCAACAAAGAGCTTTAAGAAGCTAAAGGTAACCCTTTGTAGAACCCTTCAGGAACATTGCGGCCTTGTCTCCATGGCAATATCAGCTGAGGCTCCTGGGTATTGTTAGTATTTACAAAATAAGAACGGTGTATGTGAAGGCTCTTATTGTTAAATCACCACGTCGTCTCTTAAGAAACGTGTAACCATGGTTGCCACTGTGATCAATTACTGATTGGTGAGTCATACATTTGTGTTTCCATGGCCACACCCTCCCAGAATTCAGTGCTGCTGCATAACGGAAATTGAAAAAGGATTGTTCCTATTCATCGGTTCACAGCAAGCTGACCCTTTGTGGTCCACGGGTTTGTTTTGGTGAGCTGTGATGTCCCTTCCTCTTTTTTTATGAGTTTGCTGAAATTTGAAGAGTCAAACACAAACTGAAATCTTTCATTTATTTATTTATTTATTTATTAGTTTCTTATAAAAATCTGATTTCCCTTTAAACTCTTGAGTTTGAAATATTTTCTTTTTTATAAGTTTAAATAAAAAGTGGCCTCATCTTCCTTATCTTCATTTTTCAGACTTGTTAATATGTGAATTATTGTATAAATGAGTAAATGTACAATATTGTATAAGAATAACAAAACCATTAAACACTTTAAAAGGAGTTATTGTTTATTTCTGATTTGTTTTATCATTGATTATTAATTATAAGTGTATATAATAACTGAAAGGAATCGTTTCTTAACATTTGACTAACTGTTGTTCTCCAGGAGGCTAAATATTTATCTTTCGATTCATTTTTAGACTTGAAAGAATAAAACAAGTGTTTCTAATTAACGTTTCTATTAAATGATGCCCGTAATAATAATTATAATAACAGGCTCTTCTCACCCGTTATAAAAATGGGAAAAACTAATGGCAAAAATGTATTTTGCCCTTCAAAAGGTTTCATTGAATGAACAAGGTTATAGTTTGAGATGGCGTGGCCATGGAAAATAACTGTCTCACATCGATAAGATGCCCGTCTCCTGGCTGTAGAGACACAACAAGGTGGTTTGGAGGCCACCTGTAGGTAGAAGAACGAACCCTGTTGTGGGAGGAGGAAGGTTCTTGGCCGTCTACTGAGCACAGAGCTGTTGTGACCTTTTTTCCCTTGCAAGGAAATAAGCAGAGAAAGTCTTATTTGATTCAGCCTTTATTCTTATTTACCGATTGACTATGCAACATCTTCCACCACAAATAACAACAGGCTTTTCCCACGTGTTATAAAAATGGGAAGAACTACAGAAATATTTGGTGTTTATTTAAAAATGCTTTTATAATGAAAAACAAAATAATCCTTTATTATTCCCCTTACCCTAACCCTCTGAGGCAAATTTGTAATTTGTGATTTTGGGCTATGCAAAATGAATTTAATAGTCCCACAGCAATTCACAAGATTACAGCAGCAAAGTGAAAACAAGATGAGACATTCCCGAATAGCAGTAAATGAAATTAAATATGTACCGGGAGCAGAGCAGCAGGAAGGACTACCACGACTACTACTAATACTACTACCTCACAGCAGTACAACTCACAGCAGCAAAGTCACGGAAAACAAGAAGTTCTAAGAGCTTCAGTTTGTGTTTTTAGTCAAAGAGAGAAGTAAATATAAACATTATGGATTCCTCTGTAGGAAGAAGAACCAACATCTTGTTACAGGAAGTCTGCACTGGGACGTCTACTTCCTGTTTCCGAGGCACACCTGTAGGGAGGTGAGACAGGTGAGCTCCTGTCGCAGGTCCAGCGGAGGAAGCAGCTGCTTAGCAGCAAACCAATTAGCAGTAAGTCGGAGGCTTAGAGCAGCAGCTGATCTGCTAATGGGATCAGAGCCCCTCGGAGGCTTAGAAGGAGCAGGACCAGGTCGCTTACATTCACACCTTTCTGCTGGAGGAGCTCGCCGTCCATCACAATTCCCTGTCAGCATTTGGTTGTGATTTCATGGCAGACCCCTCGGCCCCCCTAACAGTATGGACCTGCAGCTTGCCATTATGGGTCTGAAACCAGGAGTTCTGGCTGAGTTGTGTGCAGCTTCTTTGTGGATGGGATTTAATCTGTGAGGGATTCCTAAACTGCTCAAGAGAGGAAACTGTTTTCTCTTTGATACAAAAAATATAGCTGATTTCAGTTGGTTTCATCGGTCACACTAAAAGGTGAAATCATGCCGTTCATGCCGGTGAAGTTCAACCTGCAGAAAAGGGTGAAGCTGGCCCAGGGTCTGTGGATGATCTACTGGCTCTCGGTCATCGTGGGGATCATCCTCTTCAGCCTCGGCATTTTCTTCAAAATCGAGTTGCGGAAAAGAAGTGAGATGATGGACAACAACGAGAGCCACTTAGTGCCCAACCTCTTGATCCTGGTGGGCTTGTTGGCCTGTGGGCTCAACGCCTTCGGGGGGAAGGTATGCCACGACTCTCTGGACCCCATCAAGTTTGCCAAGTGGAAGCCAATGCTGAAGCCGTTCCTGCTGCTGTGCTGCGGCTTCAACGCACTGCTGCTGCTGACAGCGCTGCTCTGCTTCCTCATGCAGTTTGCAGTGTACCTGACGCTGGCTGAGGGCCTAAAGAACAGCATCAAGTTCTACAAGGACACCGACACGCCGGGGCGCTGCTTCATGAAGAGGACCTTGGACATGACACAGATTGAATTCCGCTGCTGCGGCAACAACAATTTCAGGGACTGGTTTGAGGTGCAGTGGATCAGCAACCGCTACCTGGACATGAGCAACGACCTGGTGAAGGAGTGAGTACCTGGAGCACCGCTTGAGCTGTCACTCAGTGCTGCTTGACAAAACTAAAGTTTTTTTTTAAAAACTGATGGATCGATATCAGATGGGTATTTTCTGATGTTTCATAGAAATAATGGAAAATGATACCATGTTATCCACGTCATGACTTAACGAAAATTGAGCGGGTTTATATCTAACTAATGAACTCATCTTATCTCTTCTGGGTCGTATGACACTGGACCTCCCAACACTTTATTTCTAACGTTCCTAGAGAATTTGCTTCAGCTTCTGTGATCTCTGGTTCATTTTGTCTCTTCTCTAAACTTCTGAGTAAACCCTGGTTTAAGTGTCCCACATTTAAAACGTTCAGAGATCCGCAGGTTAACAAAGGGAGTTCTCTCAAAAGGGGTCAGTGGAGGATAAAGGAGGGACTTAAGGAGGTAAAAGTTACCGTGCAGGAGGTCGATGTACCGGCTTCTCTTTTCTAAGTCTATAATCTGTCAGGATCTGATTTACACTTCACTGCAGCTTACACCCCTGCTAACATGACAAGGTTAAACACAACCAGTTGACTGAGGGTGTGCTTCATTGGCCTACCGGAGCAACTGCTGAAAAACAGAACACATTTTTGATAGAACATGTGATCATTGCAAACAACGTGAGAAACACGTTCGTGTGTGGCTGCATGTCGGTGGTAACAGGTCTTCAGTTGTGGGTCTGTGGTTGCAGGTCCTTGCTTGCTGGTCTGTGGTTACCGTTGCAGGTCTTGCAGGGGGGTGGGGGGGGCAGTGAAGACATTCAGAGTGAATCATCCAACCGTGATTGTGACCTTGGACGTGAGTATTAACCCTGACTGTCTTCACCTGCAGTCGAGTGCTGAGTAACGTGGAGGGAAAGTACCTGATGGATAGTGTCCCGTTCAGCTGCTGTAACCCCGGCTCCCCCCGGCCCTGCATCCAGCATCACCTGACCAATAACTCCGCCCACTACGACTACGACCACCGTATTGAGGAACTCAACATCTGGACGCGGGGCTGCCGCGAGGCTCTCTTCTCCTACTTCAGTAGCATAATGAACAGCATCGGAGTGCTCATCGTTGCCGCCGTCATCCTGGAGGTATGTAAACAACAACGAAGGGATCAACGGATGAGTTCTGTACAAAGGGGCTTTAGTCACAAAACGAGATGATCCCAGGTGACTCAAGACAGGAGTCACCTCGACGGTCGGGCTGACAATGACTCAAAGAGACATTTACTCACAATCCCGCTTACACTCAAACTAACAACCACACAGTCACAATCTCACAGAATAGTCAGACTAACACACACACACACACACACACACACACACAATAACACCCAATCTCACTATCACACACACAGTCACACTCACACACATACAAACCGTCACACCAACAATCACAATCACACTTACACTCAGAATCACATTAACAGTTACAAAATCCATCACACTCACATTCAATATTAACACAAACGGTCATAATAACAGTCACACTCACACAGAGAGAGAATAATTGAGTTAGTTTCTTTGAGTTAAACTTAGTTGATCTTGTTCTTCCCTTTCTTCTACTTTCCTCCTCTAGAACTCCTCTAGAACTCCTCTAGAACTAGACCATCATGCGTTCTCCATCTACTACTTTTAATTCTCCTCCTTCTTCCTGCTTTGCCTCCCTGGTGTTCATATGCAGCTTCAACCTCTGAATGATGACAATCTGACCTGGTATCAGATCTTTCACTCGCTCAGGTGCTGAGGTGACTTCGTGTTAATCTAGAGAATGGTGGTCAGGCTCACAGAGGATCAGGAACTATTTTGGGGGGTTAATCTGCCTGCATCAGCAACAGGTTGCATTCTGGGAAGATCAGTACGAGGGAGAGTTGCTGAGAGCAAACGTCGATTGGTTATGTGGGTCAAAACAACAGGTTCGACCTGAAGTGTCACAGAGATTTAGGGACAACATGGGACTCAGTCACATGTTCAAAGGAACTTTACTGACCCTGCTGCCCTCAGATCAGTTTTATTGTCTTAGGTTTGTGACCAATCAGCAGCCTCCACACAAACAATGCATTCACCTCTTACTTTCCCCTCGGTCTTCTTCAAAGTAAATAGTCATATTGTAAACTAATATGATGTCATGTGATTAAGATCATCAATGAAACTCGCCCCATTCTGAACCCGTCTAGACAGTTTAGACAGGTTATTAATTACCCAACACGACGGATACCTGATATAGTAAAGTTAAAGATAAATGAACTTCATGCATATTTCCATCGTTATCAATAGATTTTTTTGGGCGTAATACTGTTAAAGGTTTTCAGTACTTAAGTGTTGAGACGGATCCTCCAGTTATGAAGTTATGGAGAACTAGACCATTATGCGTCACCTGGGTTCACTGAGCTGTGTGTGTGTGTGTGTGTGTGATATGTTATGGTGTCCATGCGTCTCTCTGTGTCCCAGTCGGTGGACATGGCCGGGTTGAAGTACCTGACCACAGCTCTGGAGACGATGGATGACCCGGAGAACCCGGAGTGTGAGAGCGACGGCTGGCTGCTGGAAAAAGGGGTGAAGGACACGTTTGGAGATCTGCTCACCAGGCTGAAGACACTCGGAACCAGCAACCAGGTGGTGGAGGGCGGGGACTCACCTACGGCCGCCAACTGAGAAGTCCACCTCCAAACACAAAGGGACTGAGGCCCCCCTCCCCACCACACACCTCTACCTTCCTCTCCTCCACACAGCAGAGAGCAAGAGAGGAAGGAATTTATCCCTCTGTACATACACAATCATACATGTGTTAAGATACCACACACACTCACTCACATACACACATATTGTGATATTTACCATTGTGTACATATGTTGATCAGAGTTTATTTTTAAACAGGAGGAACAGAAACCTGCTGCTGTAAATATAACTTCTGGGTTGGGGATTTTAAAATGATATCACAAATCTATATGAAGTACCCCCCCCCCCCTCACCACCCCCACAGACACATTAATGCTTCCTGTCTTACAGTAGCAGAGTCTTCTAAGGGGCCCGACCGATCTATTCAGGTCTACCAGGGATAATATACCATTGCAGTTGCTCCTTTAGTCCAGTAGAGGGGGCTGAGCAGACAGATGATGTCTGTCTGTCAGTGAACGCATCATCATCAGCTGCTGGGTCTGATAGCTGGAGAATCCGTCGGCCTTCACCGGCCCTGGCCGACCTGCGCGGCAGAAAACAATTTGCCAAAAATATTATTGAAAAGTTAGTGGTGCGCAGTGCTGCTCCCTGCTGGTCAGCGGTGGGGCTGCAACGTGAGCTGTACCAGAACTAAGGATACAGTACCACCGTTGACCAGCAGGTGGCCGTCACCGAGATGCTACTCCATATTTAAAGGTCTATACACGGGAGTGAGACACTTGCAACTTCTTCCTTGAATATTACTTGAACACAAGTAATACTTGAAGGGTTTTCGTGTCAAGCGCACATCAAACCAAATTGACGTTAAGGAATGTCCTTCCACATGCTTCAAAAGGCTTTAACATGATTTATGCAAAAATGGTCGTCCAGCTCCCTGTCAGGGTGAACACACAGGAGCGTTTTATACTCTAAAGACCCACAGGTGAGGGATAAAGTTGTCTGTATAGTAATTAAAGGGTCAGTCAACAAATAAATTCAGTCTTCAGTTACACATTGTAATGTTTGTATTTCACTGCTTTTTTTGTGAAATGGAGAGTTGTGTTGTTTTCAGCCAGTTGTTGTGCATTGGTTGGAGCTTGTAGTCGCTCCGCTGTGTATGATCAAACCTATAAAGGGATTGTAACTGACGCCAAACTGTCTGACTCATCTTTTATTATCAATGCTGCGTTGAGACACGGACAACACACAACAATACAAAATTATATAGAGGGGTATATAATTATATAGAGGTTTAAACTATTGCGTTACAGTTCATTATAGTGTTTATTCTAATATAAGGTCTTACACTATAATTGATTTGTAGTTTTCTTTCAGGGTGGCAGTATTATTATGTTTTACAGTGCGGCAGCGTGGACCAGCCCTGAAGAGACTGCTAAAGGACTTCATGGGACCCACTGCGCTCCTTTCTCTTTTTGTCATTTTGTATAAATTCATGTTCTATTGATGCACATCACTGACTTTACTTAGTCACTCGTTGTGCTTTCTCTCGTCACAGGTTCATATGGATTGTGGTTCTATCTGGACCCTGGTACTGACTCCTGCCATGGCCCTGCTGACACCCACTGCTACTGTCATTATTAGTAATAATATTACTATTAATGACACTATTACTTCTTTTGTTATTGTAAGAAGACTAGAAACATGCAATACAAGTACAGTTCATTTAGTCTACTACATCCACTACTGCTGTTATTATTGGTAGTCATTTTTACGTCTTTATTCTGCTTACTGTTACCAATATTCATTCATTCATTCATCATTTCTGTCACAGGCATTGAACGTAATGCATCCTTTACGTTGTTTATGTGATCAGAACACAAACAACGTAAAGGATGTCCATTTATGTTCTGATCACGGGCGGCACGGCGGCGTGGTGGATTACGCTGTCGCCTCACAGCAAGAAGGTCCTGGTTCCACTTTCTGTGTGGAGTCTGCATGTTCTCCCCGTGTCTGCGTGGTTCTCTCCGGTTCTCCGGCTTCCTCCCACAGTCCAGAGACCTGCTCTGGGGATCACGTTGATTGGGGACTCTAAATTGTTACAATAGTTTCCCATTGTCACACAGTCTCCCCTTGTTTTACGGTGACAGTGTCTCACATTGTCTTGCCACGTCCTACATTGTCCCACATTGTCTTACGGGGACAGTGTCTCCCAGTAACTTACAGCGTGTGCAGATGGTTAAACGCAGATGAGCAGATAAATAGAGGTAATCAGATCAGAGGAACAGATTTACTCTGCTGATGTCATCTAAGGGCCAAGGACAGTTGCTATGACGCAGGAAGACACGGGGGGAGGGGTACGAATTTACTGTCTTCTCGCAATTATCAACATCTTTGTTAGTCTACAGTTTATTCATACAGCAGGAGCAAAAGAGCCCGAAGAAGAAGAAGAGGACCGACATACAAGATAAATGAACGAAGGAATCAGTGAGACGGCTCCTCTTAACCTGTTGCTAGGCAGAAGAAGAAAATGGAGCTGGTACTCTAGACTATGACTTCTTAATGACAAACAATACTCTGAATACTACTAATATGTTATATTATAAATAATCTCCAACAATATACGTAATCTATTACAGAGCTGCCAACTCTCACGGTTTCGCCGTGTGACGCGTTTTTGTAAGTTTCAAATCATGAGCATGATATGTTTCAGGCTGAGAGAACATTTTCAGTTGTTTTAGATTCAGCAGCAAACACATTTATTAACTTATACGTGTGCAAGGACTTTTTTTCTTTTTTGCTTGTATAGGATACAAGCTATTTTAACTAATGGTACCAAATATTACAGAATATCTCCACGCTACAGCCTCTAAATGTAACGTTAGTTTATAATCACACCGCAAAACAAAAGGAGCAAAGCAAGTTCAGTTTTCTTGTGTATTTATTCTGTCACTTTGATCCACTTCTTATCACTAAGAGCAGTTTGTTCTAAAGTCTTATGTGCATCTAAAAACACAAAAAAATGCACTTTGTCATTTGTTTGGCTTTTAATACTTACTGTCAAGTGCAGAAGGTTGCTAAGCAACAGGAGCAGCGCAGGTAACGCTGGTGACGCAAGCAGGAAGTCCCCTCGTAGGACAGACCGTCCCGCTTCAGAGACGGCTCGGTTCACCCTATGGGGTTGTTGGAGGACCAGCCCAGGTAGACCAGAAGGCTGCTGAAGGCCGCAGGATACAAGGATGCAGACTAGCGACTCTGAGACAAGGCTAGATGCTAGACTCTGGAATCCAGACTCACGGGTTCAATTGGAACAGCAGCTGACTTGATGACGTCACCGCATCAGCTTAACAGTATAAGATAAGTATTTTACTATCAAGCTTGTTTTGTTTTATTAAATTAAAAATGGTATATGTAGTAGCCATTTGTCCTACATACCTTGAAATCAAAGGCTGCACCTACTGCTTTGTTTCGTCACGCAGCGAGAGAGCGCATTGTCCAGGCAATCGTTCCTTCTGTTCACATTTTATTTCCAAAGTAGTTTACCGAGTGATGGCTCCATGGACACTTGTGTGGCCAGACATATACTGGCATTTGTTGAAGGTCAAACGAAGAGAAAAGGGGCAAGGGGATTTGGCTGGTAAATGTGAAAAGTATATTATGAAAGAGTACAGGACCTAAACACAGATTTACACAGATGGGGCCAAAAAACAAGAGACGGGAGTGACAGGGTGTGGGGTGGTAAGACCAGATGAAGGGATCGGTATCAATAGGAGAACATCCAATAATCTCGGGGTCTACACAGTGGAGATGGTGGCAGTACTGATTGCACTGCGATGGGTGGAAGAAACGAAGCAGGAAAGGGTGTGGATGTGCTCCGATTCATCTTCAACCCTGACGAGTATATCAGGTTGGCCATTCAAACTGCGTCAGCCACGAAGATAAATAATCAGGGAGGTCCGGTCAAATTCCTGTAGGTTCTGGTGCATGTAGGGGTTAGTGGGAAGTAGAGGGCAGACGAGTTGGCAAAGAGGGCACAAAAGAAAGGAAACATAGAAATGCACATTACTATCAGTAAAGCAGAGATCAAGTGTATTTTTTGGGAAAAAACGAATTGTGGCAAAAAAGGTGGGACAGAGAGGAGAAAAGGAGACATATATACCATTTACAACAGTGTCAAAGTCACAAGGGTGGGCAGAAGGATCAGGAGAGAAGAGACAGTGATGACTAGGTTGAGGTTAAGGCCATTGTGCTCTAAACAAACTGTGGAGGTGCTGCAAGTATGAGGTGCAACGGGAGAGGATGCTGCATGAATGCACATTACAGGGTGGATCCCTTTTAGCCTTCCTAAAGAGCACCGGGGTATTTTATCAGATATGATGGAAATGTAGGGATGTGGTGCAAAGGTGATTGGGGTATTTGTATGTGTGTAGGGAGAGGAATACTGTGTGGGTGGCTGTGTATATATGTATATATAGATGTGCGTTTATTTATTTTTATTTATTCATTTATTAGCTTATTTTATTGGGAGGGAGGGGTGTTTGGGGAGAAAGATAGGAAGTATTGTGTCTGAACTCCCGGGAAGGAGGTGGCGGTAAGGCACCAACAAGATGGATGCTAACTGCCAGTAAACCAAAAAAAGGAGAAGAGGAGTAGGAGGGTCGTCACACCAGGTTCTAGTCTGGACCATCTGCTGGACCAACATGGTACCAAGTACCAATGTTCTGAGACCAATGCGGGTAGTCACTGGTAACCAGTGAAGGGAGCAGACCGATAACCAGTGAAGGGAGCGAACTGGTAACCAGTGAAGGGAGCCAACTGGTAACCAGTGAAGGGAAGGGACTGAGTAGTGTGGGTAAATTCAGGTTAAAAGACCAGTTGAGCTGTTGCATTCTGGGTGAACTGCAGAGGTTGGATGGCATTGGCAGGTAGACCTGCGAGAAGGAGTTAGAGTAGTCAAGCCGTCAGATGACCAGAGCCTTCTGAGAGAGAAAGGACGTGTTCCCCTGATGTTGGGCAGCATGGGAACGTGTTGGTGCTGAAATGTCGGCAGTGAGGGAAAGTTGACTGTTGCGTGTCACACTGAGGTACCTAGCAGTCAGGGTGCGGTTAGGACAGAGTTGTCAACGGGCAGGTCTGTGCTGATTGTGTTTTGTTTGTATGGTTTTTGGCTGTGTTCTCCCCTTTCCCTTCGGTGTTCTCCTGTGTGTTTGGGTGTGCATCCCAATCTTTCTACTCATCCTCCTCCATATAAACCTGGCGTCTCATCACTTCGACGCCAGATTATTCCACTACGGTAGGAAGGGATTAGCAGGATACTCTCGACCTCTTTGTCTTTTTGGATGTACGCTAACCTTGTTGCTTTCTTAGCCCAGAACTCTCGTGTGCCTCATCGCTCGGCTCGTCATCCTCCCCGTTGCCAGGATCCACAAGCCAGCCAGCACCCTGCTACCCCTGCCTTCCTCGCCAGCTAATAAACTCTGTTCATATATCCTGCTACAAACCACTCCGTGTCTGCTTTGGGGTCCGAACCTTCACTTAAACGTAACAAGGTCGTTAGTGAGAAAGTCTTTACCTGAAAGGAACAGAAGTTCAGTTCAGAGTTTAATCCTGGTGTATGCTGCCATCCACTGAGAGATGTCCAGCAAACAGGCAGAGATTCAAGCTGCCTACTTGTGTCTCAGATTGCGGAAAAGACACAATTAGTTGTATGTCATCAGCATAGCGATGGTAGGAGAAGCCATGTGAGTGGATGACAGAGCCGAGACGGTTTGTGTACAGAGAGGAGGGGACCCAGGACGTTAAAGTATGACCAAGTAAATGAGATCAATTTAATAAGTGCTGACAATGTCTTCTTTGAGTCCATCTTGAAAAATTGACAAAAATGATTGACAGCGGTACACTAACATCTGGGTAAAGCACCTTCTATCTCTGCAGCTTCCTGGTCCTCAGCTCTTTGTTGGTGCCAAAGTGTGACACTTGTGTTAGTGATCCCACCTCACTCTGCAGTAACTGGAGATACTCTTCCATCAAATAAGAATTGAATGTTTAACAATGGTGCAATCGAGAAGCTGCCATAAAATCTGGCTTTGAGGTGGAACTAACATGGTGATCAGTGATCACTCAAGGCCTAATATTTACAAAATAGAATAAAAAAAACCTGCAAAAAACTGGAGTAATTTTCTTTAGAACACAGACTTTGACCAACATTGGATCTTCTCATCCTTTGACTTCTTCAGTTTAACCATTCAATTCAGGATTGAAGTGGGACAAAAACCGTAGGGTAATTATTACCTCTACCTCAAAGTCTATATTTTTTAATTGCCATGTATAACATTGTGATCAACAAATAATTCCTCTTCATTGGAGGTATGTTTGGATCTTTAATGAAATTAATATAACAAGATGTATACAACAATGGTTGCAATGAAACATAAACATCGAAGGAAATAAACAGCATTAAATGCATCTGTAATAACCTAGATAAATAACTTAAACACAATTAAATATAATTAAATCTATGGTTCGAATACACACCTTCTGCCATCGCTGTGTACATGGATGAACGATATTCATCTGCGTGGAGTCACACATTCCATTGGACCATGTTTATTTATTTATATTGATACACAGGTAACCGGATGCATCACAGACGTGTTTCTGGCATAAGGACCCGACGCGCTGGTTTCACTTCCTGGTTGTAAAGTCTCGCGTGTGTTGCAGAGCGATTCACCTCCAGAACAACAGGCGGAGTCACGTGTTTTGTTGAGAGTCACGTCTTTGTGTGTGGAAGTCGTTGGTTGCTTTATTTATTTATCACAGACCTTATTGCCCGCAGTCTGCGTGTCCTCGCGTTTCTCTGAACACGCGGACGCATAAACTAGACTTTACAAACGTTCCATTGCGTTGAATCTTACTGTGAAAATCTGCGTACTTCCGGTTTAGCGGCTTCGCTTCGTATTTTCGGCAAAATCCAAAAAGGGATTAACAGTAAAAGTTTTTACAGTAAAAGGAACTATCAAAGGTACACTGACCTGAGACGGTTTTATATATAGTTTATACTTCATATTATGAACAGAAATGGATCAAAGTGAGCTCAAGTAAACAAGTTATGAACCTGAAATATCATTTTCTACGTCAGTGACAGTACAAAAGATGGAGAATACACAAAGAAACTGAAATTGTTGCTTTGCTGCTTTTGTTTGTGGTTATAAACCGACTTTACATTTAGTTGTTTTATGGGGCAGGAGGAAGCAGCATCAAGCTGAAGAGAACAATGTGTGTGGTGACATTTAGCTTCTGTAGCTTGGACATATTCTGTCATTTTAAGTTAAAATAGCTTGTATCCTATGCAAGAAAAAGATGTAATTCCTTCCATACAAGTTAATACATGTATTTGCTGTTGTGGTTTTCATTGACAGTATGCATTTATCTCCTCTGCCTTGCAATGTTACTTTTAGCTGAAAGTAAATGACTTCACTGGTTTATTTTGGGTTTAAAATAACGAGAAAATGTTTTTCCTCTCAGCCTGAAATGCATCATGCTCCGGAGAAGAAGCAGATCTTCCTAAATTAAATAAAATAAAAAGATTGATCTCTCTGTATTTGATGCTGTTGTGTATGTTTTTCGTGTTTTAAGGATTTTACTGTCAAGCGCAGCAGGTTGCTAGGCAACAGGAGCAGCGGAGGTAAAGCTGATGACGCAAGTAGGACGTCCCCCCCGTAGGCCAAGCTGTCCCATTTCAGAGACCGCTCGGTTCACCCTATGTGGTTGTTGGAGGACGCAGCCCATGTAGACCAGAAGGCTGGTCCTACAAGGATGCAGCCCAATAATTTGAGACATGGCTTATGACGGATGGGACACACAGTGCGACAGGGAGAGGTGGAGGCTCCGCCCACACTGCAAGTCAGTATTAAGACAACTTCATTTGAAATGATAAAACATCCAAACTTAAGTGATTTTAATATATTCTGTGAAGCCTTCACTTCACTTAGTGAAGACAGACACACAGGAAGCTTCTTTTAAAGGTTTATTACAAAACGCAAGACAAAACATGTCAACTGGGTTTTTATTCTATTGTCAAACACGATACAATGACGAACAACCTTCTACCTGCAGGTGAGGACAGAAACCAACACAACATGGATCCAAATGCAAAATACTGTGGACGAGGACGGCGGCTTGAAGGGAACCGAGAGAACTAAAACCAGAAGGATGAAGATGTACGTGTTCTACAGGAGGTCCATGGTGCAGCCGCCTACACACACACACACACACACTTATAAATACCATAAAATTAGGTCAAAGCCAATTCACACGGTAAAATGTTTGTCACAAACTCAAAGTGTCTTCTGCCATCTGACGGCTGGGAGGAAGGGGAAGGTTGTCAGAGGAAGACCTGGTCCCTGATCGGTCCGAGACACCCGTCAGTCTTTCAATATTGGATTCTTTTGTCTTTAACTTTGAAAACAGGACATCCATCGAGGTCACTTCCTATCTGTCCGATGAAGATGATGCAGGTGGTGTTGCTACGGTAGCAAGGGTGGTTATGTCTTTTTACTTATGAGTCACATTTAAATATTTATATATTACAACATTGTTCCAAATTCATAAATAAGTGCAGTTTAAGCGTTGACCTCCACAACACCACCAAAAAACTACAAACATGGCCGACGAGCTGCAGGTTAAAGTCTTTCCTGCGACGGTAAATGTGGGAGGAAACACTATCTCAACCAGTCAGCTCTCTGCTCTCACTAACCAATCAGAACACTGCACCAGCCAATCACAATCAACATCTGGACCAGATGAGACTTGAAAAACATCAGACCTGGACCAGTTTTCAGCTTTACAAAGTTAAACTGAATTGACAGACTTGTTTGTTGTTGTCATCATGAATGTGTTTTGTAAATAACCGGTTTACCAACAATGCACTGCGTGCTGTGTTTCAATATAGAAATTGAACAGGTAGCAGGTAGGTAACAGGGCTGATGGGAAATATCCAGAATTTCTCCCCAGGTGGCAGATGGGAAATAACAGTGTAGAGGGGGGTGAATGAAAGCGAGCAGCGTCCATGTGCAACCTGACAGACAGGTGGAGGATGACCGGGTCATGGGGCGGGGCAAGGAGTAACACTTTAGATCTAATTCCATCCATAAGCTATCATCGGGTATGACCATATATGGAAGTCCTGCCGCTATTTACACTAGACAAGTACCAACCAGGTCCAGTATCTGTCTCCAACTGGTCCAGAACGTTGTTGAATTAGAACTTTTCCAGAACTGGCTCCGACCCAGTCGGTGCTGATTCAGAACCAACCCAGAACAGGTTGAAAACCGGTCCAAGCCCACAGAATCCTCACTCCGAGTCGGACTCCAGCGGGGCGGTCTCGTCTAGGACCACCCTCTTCCGGCGTTTGTCGACGGCAGCCCGAGCCCGCTGCTCCTCCTCCATGTGGGCCTTCTTGTGGCGGGAGAAGCTGGAGGAGTGCATAAAGGTCTTGTTGCAGGCGGCGCACGTGAAGGTCTTGGTCTTGGCGTGGAGCGGTTTCTGGTGGTGGTGCTGCTGCTGCAGCTTAACCCGTCCCTCCCCGTCCCCAGCACGGTGGGTCTGCTGGTGCCGAGCCAGACTAGAGGCGTGGCTGAACCGCTTCCCACACTGGCTGCACCCGTGACGGCCGGCTCCTCCTCCTCCTTGCTCCTCCTCTGAGATGGAGGCGCCACGCCTGCCAGCCCGGTTCGCCCGGCGCCGCCGGTTCTTCTTGCACAGGGTGTAGAAGTTGGGCTTGTCTCGGGAGCAGAGCTTGAGGCGGATCTTGAGGTCCGAGGAGGTCTCCCCGAGGTTCTCCTTGCCGGGGGTGTAGTTGTTCAGCAGCTCCTTAACGTGGGTCACCTGATGCTTGGAGAGCTGGGTGGAGGTCCTGAAGCTCATGTCACACTGCGGGCAGGCGTAGAACTTGTCTCCACCCGGACTCTCCAACATGTCCGCTGACTGCTGCCTCTGCTGCCTCTTAGGCTTCTTGTTCTTAGCTTTCAGCGAGCGGCGCAGGGGGGCCATGTTAGGGCTGGGGGCCACGTCTTTGGGCCCCTTCCCCTTCTTGTGGATGAGGCGGTGGCGCGACAGGCTGGAGCTGTGGTTGAATTCCTTCCCACAGAGGTTGCATGGGTGAATCCTCCGCTTTCCGTGCAGCCGCAGGTGACTGCCCAACATCCTGCAAGGAGACGTGGAGACAGGAGTCAGTGGAGGACACGAGGAGGGAGGAGTAAGTACACAAGGAAACGGGGGGGAGGAGTAAGTAAAATAAACGAGAGGCCGGTAAAGAAAACGAGGAGACAGGACTTAGTGAGGGGCAAGAGGAGACACAGGATACATTAAGGAAAGCGATAGGGAATCAATTAGGGACACAGAACAAATGAAGGAACAGATGGAGGTCACTGGGGTCAGTGGGACCCTCCTCTGACGTTCTCCCTAAGGTTTCTTCCCTTTTTTTTTTTCCTTCTTGGAAGGTTGTTTTTTGGGGGAGTTTTTCCTGTGCTGATGTGAGGGTTTCGGGACAGAGGATGTCGTATGTGCACAGACTAAAGCCCTCCGAGGCTCATTTGTAATTTGCGATTTTGGGCTCTACAAAATAAAATGAATTGAACTAGAGAGAATGCAGGTGGAAAACTGCAGGACAGGATTACCTGCTTCCTTTGAAGCTCATTCCACAGTGGGGGCAGGTGTACCGCGCCTCTTGGGGCGGGGGCTCCAGCGCCCGTTTGGCGGGCGATGGCGCCCCCCCGGCGCTCTGGCCTCCATGCGTCTGCTGGTGGCGGTAAAGGCTGGAGGCGTGGCTGTAGCTCTTTCCGCAATAGCTGCAGCGGTACTGACGCTCGTCTGGCTCAAAGTCAGCCAGGTCCGAATCGCCCTCGCCCTCCGGCTGGCTGCCTACTGCCTCCACTAGCACCTCCTGCTCCTCCTCGGTGTCCTCCTCGTCATCGTCGGAGTCCGTCTTGATCTCCACGCTCTGCTCCGTCACTTCGCAAGGGTACACCTCCTCATAGGGAGCGAAGAAGGCCTCCTCCGTCTCCATCTTCAGCTGCTCCGCCGTCAGCTCTGTTGGGTCGTCGGAGTCCTTCTTCACGCAGGAGATGGTAAACTTTGACCCCACCTCGGCCCACTTCACCACGTACTCAATAGGCTGAGTGTCCAACTCCACTGTGATGAAGTCTGCACCCAGAGCATCAGACTCCGACACCACCAGCTCCGTCTCAGAGTCCTCCATCCTGACCCCAGGGATGCAAAGGAGCAGCTACAGCCCTGAAGAGGATATATAAAATAATCATCCATGCCTTCACTGACCTACAGTTTATATAACCTTATAGTAAAGGTCATTCATCTGTGATGCCTTCACTGACCTACATACATACATGCGCATGCATATCACTGCCATTTATACAGAGAGATGACCTCTGACCTCGTGACAGACAACTTAACACTTTAATATTCATAAAACGGTAAATAGAAGCTTCACATCGGATTTGGGAACAATCTATCCGTGCCAGACCGCTTCGCCGAACTCCATTCTGAAAGCCGTCATTTTAACCGGATCACGGCTTCAGAGAGACCGTCGCTGTGCATCAAATAGTTCTGTCTCTCTTAGTCCAGAACACGCTGAATCAAACGGGCAGCCTATCACCTGATGTTGGATCAGCGTTTCTGCCATATTCTTTTTGTACTGCCCGGATTACTCCACGCCAAACATCCCGCGGAGTGCAGTTTCGTTCAGCGCATGGATTACGACCGATGACATTTCATCCACCAAACCTCCATCTTATTGTTGAGTTGAGAGAGAGCCGAACTCACCACGGCCTCCTTTAGTTAGCTACAGCGCGTCCGCGCTTTGAAAAACACCGTTTGAGCGGGTCGTAAAGCGAGGAGGTGTTAAATAGTGGAGCTTTTGAGAGGAGTTCCGGGGCTCGGCCGGGCTCAGTGTCAGTGATGAGGAAGCAGATCAGGCATTTTCTCTCAACTGTCAAAATAAAAGAGCTAGCGGCGGAATAAACGATGTAAACCGGATTTGGCGGTTAAACGAATAGGAATTCGGTTACTCACCGATCTTTTGACGGCGGCACGGCGGCATAAACGTTAAAATTTTACCGGTGGAGACGGTCACAATAAACAGGAAGCAGGGGACGTGGACACAAAGCATTGTGGGAAAGGATTAAATGGCTGCGATGAAACGGAAGTACGGTTCATTGTCCTTCAGAATAAAATACATAGTAAAACAACCGAATGTAAAAGAATAAATACTACAATAACATAATAGTTGATCAAAATAAAACTATATATATTATATATAGTTATATATAATTATATATACACACACATATATGTATATATATAAATAAATATAATATAATTGAATAGTGTAAAATGATGAGGAAGGAACATATTAAGAGGGGGGACATTCGATGAGGAGGAGGAACAGATAACAGACGAAGGGGAGAAACAGTTGAATGAGGAGGAGAAACAAACAACCATAAAGTGAAGGAGGAACCGATAATGAGGATGAACAGATGAGAAGGAATAGACAATGAAGGGGAGAAGAAACAGATGAGGACGATGAGGCGAAACAGATCATGAGGAAGAGGAGGAACACATGATGAGCAGGAGGAGCCGACGACGAGCAGAAGGAACATACGCCAATGAGGAGGAACAAACAACCATAAGGTGGAGGATGAACAGATGAGGAGGAGGAAAAGACGATGATGAGGAGGAGTAAGAGATGAGGATGAGGAGGAGGAGTAAGAGATGAAGAGAAGGAACAGATGGGAAGAGGAAAAGATGACGATGAGGACAAGGAGAAGAAACAGATGAGGACGATGGAGGAGGAATGGACAATGGTGAGGAGGAGGAGCAGACGATTAGAAGGAGGAGGAAGAGATGGGGAGGATGAGAAGGACCAGACGAGGAGGAACAGATGATGAGGAGAGCAGTAGATGAGGAGGAGGAATATTCAATAGTGAGGCCTCCTCTTCATTGCATCTCGTCACCTTTCTCCTCCTTCACATGGACTACTGTGCCTTGCACGCGCACACACTCACACGCGCACACACAGTAACGCGCACAGCGCCGCTCCTCTTGCCCGTTATCGTCCCGGTAGCCCCTGTAAACACTCACGGTTGAACCCGGATCAGTCCGCTTCGGTTCGGCTCGAGGTGAGAACGAGTCGCTCCTTTCCGCCGCAGCTCGGTCACATCTCACCCGGGGAGCAGCGGCGGCCTGTTGGCTAGCAACCGCTGCTGCGACGTCCCTGCTAGCGCGGCACGGAGCGGCACGGAGCGGCACGGAGTCCAGCAGAGCGGACAGGACGATGCGCCTCGCAGGCGGAAGGTTGCGCAGCGTCCGAAGCCTCTCAGCCAATGACCAGCGGAGCTACTACGCGCCACGCTCCGTGCGTCCCATCCGATTGGCTGGCGGGCTGAAAGCCGCAAAGCACGACGCCAAATGTCGTGAGGTGTCGTGAGGTTTCGGTACATCTCTCATCTATCGGTTTCTCCCTAACACGGTTTATGGTTTGAAGGTTCTATCTGTGTATTTCGTGTTCTGACCGTTTCTTATCCGTTAACTCTTCTCTGTTACGTTTTCTTAGGGCATGTTGAAATGAGTCGATAAATTACAGATAAGTTCGCTATTTCCATCTGCTGTGCTGACGTTCACAGCCGCATTAGGCTCTGCTTCAAAATAACATCCAACGTTTACAGAATCCACATTTGTTGATACTTTCGTCTAGAACATTCGTAGGCCAGATGTTCTCAGTGATGAAGAAAACCAGGTCGATGGTGACTTCCGGGTTCAAACAATATTAATCAGTTCTTCTGGATCCTTTTCACAAAAACGTTTTCCTGATTAAATATGGAATACAAACATTTGAAGTATATTAAAAAACAAACAAATACAATGAATAAATAATAGTGACCGTTATTAACAGCTAGTAGTTATATAATCAGAACATTAACTTACAGACAATATACATTGGTGAGAAGACTCTTTTCTACAGAGAATATAAAAGGCATCATAATACAACTCATGAGCTCAGATTTGAAATAAAACATTATACACTTTATCAGCTGTTAAATTGAGTTGCATCAGAATGCACCGGTGTGTGAAGTAGAAGAGCAGCAGTGATCAGCAGGTGGCGCTCTCGGCCTTCCAAAGTGATCACAGTGCAAAAACAAAACAGCTTGTAGACATGAAGCCATATTGAAGTCTTGCTCTTCTGCATCAATAAAAATCACCTGTATAAAAGGATAGACCCAGGGCTAAACTCCACTTGAGATGATCTTACATAAGTAGTAATGATGTAATTAGTTGAAAAAGTATCCTCAGTACTTGTTGGTTACCCAGTAATGTCACAGCTTTCTTTCTATCAGTGTCATCCGGCTGGTGGGTGTGACCTGTTTATCTGTGTGTTAGAAGTGTACACTATCCAAAGCAACTTACAATAAGTGCATTTCATCCATAAGGACACAAACTCAAAGAACAAGAAACAAGAAAGTGCCATTTCATCAAATAAGCCGATGTACAACTTGCTGTAGATAAGAACCATCATAAGTCCAGTGTAAGTGCTACAGTTAGTTAGTGTGTTAGTGGAGGTAGAGTCTGAAGAGGTGTGTCTTTAGTCTGAAGATGTGAAGCCTCTCTGTGGTCCTGATGTCTTCAGAGACCTCCTTCCACCATTTAGGAGCAGGACAGCAAAGAAACGCTACAGACTTTTATATTAAAGTATAGAACTTTCAGAGTAAAATCATTCAGTTAAAAAACTAAATGGAGACTTCTATGATAAACCAAGAGGAAGGACACAGATTTATTTCATGTTTTATTATTGTAAAGAAATATAATATATCAGACCCTCATACAAGCTTCACAGACCTGTATGAGCTCCAACAAAAAGCACCAATCACTGCAGAGTCGTGTGACCTCACAGACTGCGGCATGCTCGCCCAGATGCATTCTGGGTTACATGCTAACTTGAGTCCGGTAGATGTTAAGATGTGCTTTATGCTCGGAACGGAGTCTTCCAGTTGGTGTTGACATGTGACAAGCTTCGCCAATCCAAACCTTCAGGTACAAGACGGCTATGTCTGCCTGCAAGACTCAGCTCAGGGTAGAACATACTGATTAAAAACCACAAGACTATTCGTTTGGAAAGATTAAAACGCGTTACACATTTTATATGAGCTTTAAAATAATAATGCATCTATTAAGAATCGTATCGATAGAAAAGACGTTATTCATATCTCCCCGTTGAAGCCATTTGTGAAACAATCAGTCAGAAAAGTGTAATGCAGCCAACAGTCTAGACAGGAAGTAGATGTCTGGCAGCATCACAGGAAACAAGAGAAATAAAGGCTATGGTTAAATCCCCCCCCCCTCAACAAGGCTATTGCTCTCAGGCACCACTCAATCTCCTCCTGTCGGGATCAGATCACAACATGGATTGTGAAACATGCTGATCATTATTGATTAAATGTCTGCTGATCAACAACATTTTGTCAGAATAACAGAAATTTAAAACCTGACGGACTCAAAGTTGCCGCCGGTGATCAATATGAAACATACTGAATCAAAAGAGCTTAGATCATTAAGTATCAGTCTTTTGATAATCAATTAATAGATCAATAGTACAACTTTTCAACATTCTGATTCCAGACCCACAGATGTTTCAGAAACTAATTAAAGATCAATATATTAGAAGCTCTGATGAAGATACACCTCGACTCTCACTCAATTATTAGAGGAAATAAATGCAAGGTTTCCCCAGACGTGTATTGATCAGCGGATTGTTGATGCTGATTGGAGGAGATCTCATTGTGATCAGGTCACAGGAAAGCAGATCGGCCAGAGTAAGAAGCCTCATCATCACATCTGGAAGAGAAGAAAGACTACATTAAAAGGAACTATTCCCCACCAACTGACGGATTGGACTGAAGTGAACTCACCTGTTCAGCAGCTTTGTGCAGCCACTTCTCTTTGTCCCCGCCCACTTTCATGCAGGAGAACAGGTCACAGACGGAGGGCAGCGCCAGGCGCTCCTGAAACAGCCACAGAGACTGTGATCACACAATGATGTGAGGCCGTCGATGGTCCGTGCTGGTCTCAGCAGTCCCGTTACCTGAGCCTGAGTCCTCTTCTTTTGCAGCCACTTGTCTTCTGCCGCCGGTTGGGTCTGATCTCCTGACCCCGGGATCACCCAGAGACCTGGATCCAGAGGGCAAAGGAAAGGAGACGAGAACCGCGAGCTCTGGTCCTCCCTGCTGGCCTTCTCCTCCTCAGGAGCAACCCAGGCAGACAGGGGGGGGTTGGTGGGGTGGAGCCAAGCCTCCAGGATGGCCTGAACCTGAGAAAACACGTCATTTTAAATCAAAAGTAACAATCAATTATGGGAATAACTTATTATTTAGAAGTGAAGGAGGCTGAATGATTCATGGATGAAAGAAGAAGAAGAAAAAGTCACCTTCTGTTCCTGCTCTCTGTGATGCAGGGTGGGCGGGGCGTTCTTTGAGACAGTGGGCGGGGTTACAGGGACCCCGTTCTTGTCTCTGCCATCTTGTTTAAGCAGCCAGAGGCTCAGAGCTTCTCTCCCACAGTTCTCCTCACAGACACAATCGGAGAAGGAGGAGCAGACCTCATTGGCCCTGCAGGTCTGCTGCAGCGGCACCACCTGCTGAAGCCACGCCTCCAGGGCCGGTGTCTCGGGGGCTGCGGGTGAGGTGGGCGGGGTCTTTCAGGCACTTAAGCTGGCCCAGGTTCTCTATCTCCAAGGCCTTGGTGGTCTGGCAGCACGAAGAGCAGTCAGCGGGGGGGCGGGTTGGCCCCATCAGCCAGTCGCTTGAAGACCAGCCGTCGTCAAACGGCTTCAACACACGTTTCCACCGCTCTGCGTCGGACGTGGTCTCCGCGGCAACAGTGGGCGGGGTGATGAGCCAGTCGCTGAGCTCCTCCTCCTCCTCCTCCTCAGGACTGACGGTAAACTCTGATTCATCAATCTTCTCGATGGAGAAGGAGGAGCTGCAGCTGCTGCTGGTCCGCTTCCTGCTGGCGTGAGTGTGGTCTCGGAGGAGCCACGCCTCCAGGTCCCTGATGTGACCCCAGGCCTGCAGGGAGTCCACAGAGGCCAGGACGGGACAGGAAGTCTGACACAAATACACAGGAAGTCAGTCGAGACTCTTAATTGGGTGTACTTCCTGTCGGTGACATCATGGGTCCATTAATGTTTCATATATTTGTAGTTGATAGATTGTGACTCTTTGATGTGATTCGACAGGGTTCAGTTGGTTTCACGAATACATTATTAATGCAGAGTGAAACACTGCAACCATGTGTGTGACTGTGCTCGTCTCTCTCACCTTGCTCTCCTCCATTAGCCAATCCTGAGGGTTCTTGCTGGACTGGTAACCAATAGGAGCTTTGCTTGATGGAAGAGCTCCCATCAGCCAGTCGCTCAGAGATCCGGACTCCATCTTCTGATCGGAAACACAAACCACATGTCACTTCTGCTTCTTAAAACATTTATAGTACAACATTCATATAACATTAAATATCATTGAAGATTTTATCAGCAGGAAATTGTGAAAGCCGTTATTTCCCCCCCGACAGATGTGTTAAAGTTTGAGCTGTAATTAAAATGTCATGTTTCTACCTTGTGGATGCAGTTACCTGTTTCTTGGCGGCGATGGGACAGCTCTGAGAGGACACTCCCTCCACCAACTGCAACAGGAAGTACAGAAAAGCCCTTCACATCAGTATCACGTTCACCGACAACGGTCTTTGTGAGGACCAACTGCCGGTGTGGACCTTTCTAGAGAAGACATTTAGTCCAGAGTGAGTGGGAAGGACCACTGAACGGTTGCAGTGGTTAGGGTTTTAGAAGAGATGGTCAGGAATTAAAGATCAATGGGTGTCCTCACAAAGACAGAAGATGCTGTGTGTGCGTTACCTGAGCAGTGATGCGGCCGAAGGAAGTGATGGCCTGCCTCAGTGAGCGAGCGTCGGCATGGAAACTCATCTCAGGGGTTTCCTCAGGTGTCAGACTCAGAGAGGACAACCTGCACACACAAGAGGAGCAACGTCATCATCAACTATTTACAACCAAATGCATGCGGATCGATTCGTGGATCAACACTCGTCCAGCCCAAAGATTCATGGCTGAAACTTCACATGTGATTTCAATAGATCATTATTATCATCATCAATATCAGTTCAGCCGTGAATCAAATCCCAGATCAAATCCAGACGAAGACTTACTTCTCCAGGCAGCTGGTCAGCTGGTTGTTCAGGTCGTTGCTGCTGTTGGAGCTCTGCAGCTGATGGACGATCACATCAAACTGTCCTCTGAGCTGAAAAACAAACACCAGTGAACACCAGTAAACACTGGTAAACACCGGTAAACACCAGCAGAGACCAGTGAGCAGTGGTTACCCAGTGCAGCCGGTGCAGCTGCTGCTGCAAAGTCTCAGTCTTGACTTGTTCCAGCAGCTCGATCTGACCCAGCAGCCAAACCTCCCGACAGCGAAGAGCCTCCTGCTGACGACTCACACTGCTCTGAAGCTCCAACCGCACCTGTCCTCAGGAGACAAGCAGGCAGTCAGGAGAGACACCTCTCCAAACGAATCACTACACTGAGCCTCTACGTGATTTACCAGGAGCACAGTCCAGTCCAGCAGACTACAGTTAGTGGGACGGTTGTTAGACGGTCGGTGAAGTCCACTCTTATAAAGTGACTAACTCTCACACACACCCACACTGAGTCAGTAGGACTGTGATGAGGTCAGTCTAGACAAAAGGTTTAAAAACACCGACGAGGAAGAGGATGAAGGTGATGAAGAGGAGGAAGAAGGTCTGACCTCTCTGGAGTTCTCCCTCAGCTGCTGCTCGGCCTTCATCACACCATTGACGGCGTCCTCCAGCTGATCCTGGGCCAGCCGGCATTGCTTCAGCCCAGCCACTGCAGCCGCCTCGGCCTGCGGCATCCTGGACAGGAAACAGGAAACATGCACGGTGCTTTTCAACGTGTGTAGGGATGATCTGCAAGCAGCCTACGTTCCTCCTTGATACGCGGAAATGGAAACAATTCAGGTGGCTTTTAGAGCCCCGAGATGGAGTAAGTTACGTGTTTGTGACTCGTGATGTTTTCACCAACACGTAATCGTGAAGGCACTAACTGATCCAACACACACCAGATATTCTTCTGGTGTTTGGAAACATTACAACACGTGTCTGCACGTCTTTTCTTGTATTTTCTTTGTTGCTTTTTCCATGGACACACGCGTGTCTAGAGGTGGTCCACCTGGGACGTTATAGCCTAAAGTGCATCTTTGTGTGTGTGTGTGTGTGTGTGTGTGTGTGTGTGTGTGTGTGTGTGTGTGTGTGTGTGTATATATATATATATATATATATATATATATATATATATATATATATAATGTTTTTTAAAATGATCAAAACTCCAAGGTGACGTCCTCAGATGTGTTGTTGGACTGGAGCAGCTGGTTCTTTATCCGGTTGGCCGGGTTAAAAATAGATCACTAGCATCAACACCACACAGGTGAGTCCAGACAGAAGGAGGATTTATCAGAATTCTATTTGTTCAGGTGTTTCTATTCTTCTGGTCAGACTGTGATGGACTCAGCTGACTCCAGGTCAGCGTTCCATTCAGAGGTGTAATCGAAGCTGCATTGTGTGGTGTGATTGGTCAGAGGTCTGGAGGGTCACCGGGATCAAACCAGTTACACCACTAACAATTATCAGACACAACTGGAGAACAGTCCTTTGTAACACATGCAAGTGCTTTAAAAGTCTTCACCGAGACATGAGAGTAGAGACGCTTGTAGAGAGACTTAAAAACACGTTATTTTACACATCAGGCATGCATACATGATACAAGCATGTATTCATATAGATATGGAACTCTGTTTGGGTGGGGAGGAAGTGGCCTCAGGGTGCAGCGCTGCTTCACTATCAGCTGTGAACAGTCAGCTGATATGAACCTGCTCAACAAGCAGTGCGACCTATGACCTGCAGACTGAACCGCTGACCCAGCAGCTTTTAAACTCCTCCACATCACACATATGTCTTCTATGATGTCATCACTGCTAGGTATCCTGAAAAAGGATCAAACATTTGTTCTATTCAAATTGTGTAAGAAAATGGAGTCACGTGTCTGCGAGTGAGTTACCAATATGCCACCAGTTCCAATACCTAGTGTTGGTTGGGAGTTATTCATTGGCATGACGTAATCTCAACACACGTAACCCAACTAGAGCGGACCGCTGCCCGCTCAGCGACGACCTGCGCTTAGAAATTGTGCCGCCTGCCGAAGAGCATCGGCAGTTGATTCGGCGTGACACCAATATGACGGTACTTGAAAAAAATCATACGTATGGATTACTGCACATACTGATTCAACCAGTATACCGGTATCAGGTATCGATTTCCTACCTTCATAACCGTAACAGCTGATGTTTCTCTTCAGCAGGGACCAGAATCTTACAAATGTGATATGAATTTTTGGCCATACCGCCCCGCCCCAATAGCAATAATAATATAATATTAATAATTTAATAACTAATAAAATCATTTCCATTATAATATAACAATAATATGATATTAAAACAGTAACAGAAATAATACTATTAATTACATTAAGGGCAAACAGAAGAATAAAGAGGTTGCCTCATGTGTCGGAGGGTTACTAAGGACAATAATAAAATGATCTAGAATAATACTTCAATAACAATAGTAATAGAATAATATAACAACTACAATACCAAAAGGATAATATGCATGACCACGTGGAGGCTAATGAAGAATAAATAGGTTCCCTCAGGGATCCGAGGACAGTAACAATAATATTGATGAATTAAGAGGTTACCTCATGGCCTCGTATTCGGACGGTTATTGTTGACTATCGGAGCTCAGATAGGAAACACGTGACCCTTTCCGCCATCGCCGCTTGCCGGCCCGCACGTACACACGAGAGGGGGCGGGGCGTCTGTTATCTCACACGGACAGCTGCGTCACATACACGCCACTTATGAACTATCACGTGACAGAGGCCTCTGTTCTCAGCTGATTGCTCGGCTCCATTCGCCAGCCTCCATTAAAACACGGCCTGTTCGGTAGGCAGAGTACATGGAAACTACGTCCCACTTTAGCAAAAGCCAAAGGTCACCCGGTAATAACCGCGTACAGTTCGTCCTGCCAGCAGATACTTTTACAACTACAGCCCACTACCGTGTCCGCCCTCCGCTGGGCCTACTGGACGGGACGGAATCCAAAGGATGGCATCTTGTTCCAGGGAACGCTATACCTGCTGAATTATAGGGTGGATCTTAATAATGTGTAATACATTGTTTAAAAAGTGGTGTTACGCCGTGTGAAGCCGTACCAATGAACGGTAAACAACACGCGTAGGGTTAATTTGGAGTGACTGGTTTAAACTGCTTCATGTGAAACTGAAGACCCCTCAATAAGATATGCAAGAAGCAGAGGCATATTTGCAGTATTATCGTGTATCTATTATCGTATGATGTGGCACCAAACGGAGGTCATAGCATGGTTTTAGTTTAAGTGGCTAACATTAGCTCGGCTAAGCTAACTAGCCACTACTCTCGAACAGAACAGTTTCTCACTGACCGGGTGCTTTTGGTCTGGATTCTCCCCTTTGACGTCATCAATCCTCCCAGATGTTAAAAAGAAACGTTGAAGAGAAGAGGGGCTCCGTTAACAGCCGGCGTTTCCTTCCAGCTTCGGCCTAGATGCACAAACACGTCAGGGGAAATAAAACATTCAGCGAGGACCAGTGCCGCGAGAACTGAAAGCAACATCCCGCGAGATCCTGTCAGGCCAACGTAGCGGGCCCGCCCCCTGCTGGTGACGTTTCTTGTTGTATTGATCAACGTGTAACTGTAGAGTATTTTACTTGATCAGTGTTAGTGCATATATTATATGTACGAATATATACTAAGCATACGGTATATAAAAAGTATAAGGTATCAAAGATCAGGAACATTTATTGCCAAAATATGTTGGACATTAAAGGAATTTGACATGGCGGTCTGTGCATAACATCGGACAGTTAGACAATGAATGGACAATAAGACAAATAACATGAAAAAGACATTCAAATTTACAAATTTACAATTTAACAATACAGAGTAAAATAGAAAGCTATAGGCTAGGGGCATATAGATTATTAAAGGATACAATACAAAATTAAATAAAAAATGAAAAGTTAAAAATAAAGTGCGCTGACAACAACAACAACTGTGTGTATGTGAAAGTGGCAAGTGTATGAATGTATGGAGTGTGAAGGGAGTGTGAAGGGAGTGACCGGTGAGATGTCACAGTCAGTCAGTCGGGGACCCGGGTGTTATATATGTATGTATATATATATATATATATATATATATATATATATATATATATATATATATATATAAGAACATTATATACGGACCCGGGGGGGGTTCAGGTGAGGGTCTGGCTCAGGGGCTGTATGGGGGGCAGCAGGACGAAGTTAAGTTATTACTAAGAGCAGTTTGTTCTAAAGTCTTATGTGAATATAAAAACACGACATCGGTCACCAACGTCACGTAACTTAAGTGATTTCATTAACTAAGATGTGATGTTATATATTATATTATATTATATTATAGCATTTCTATCGGTAGATATTCTAGTGAATTCTATTACTTAAGGATGCAGCCTAGCGACTTTGAGACACAGCTACACTTTGTGTATATAGTTACATAGTTACATTCACATGTATATATGTAGTTATATTTATTTCCGTATACTCGGTGCCTCGGCCGGTGACGTCATCACGCTCTCTGCGTACAGCCGCTGGAGGTGGAGTCAGAGCTTGTGGCGTTTGTGATGTAGATTTAGAGACTCGCACTTTTTATCCTTTCTGTGTAAAGTAACGATACAAACGGTAAACGACACGGTAAACCAAAGCAATGTCTGTGGGCTCCGGGAACAGAAACACGAACACGGAACCGTGGGGAAGCTTTGATGACAACCTCGTCCAGGTGAGCTAACATGCTAACATCAGAGCTACGTGCCAACAAACCTACCGGTAAACGTGCTAATCGGTGTTGTAAACCTATTGGTACACCTCTGCGCGTGGTGTTCACTTAACATTAGCAGTGTATTGTCTGCTCCCAACCTAAACAAGCTAACAAGGCTAACGACAACAACCGCTCTGACAGATGAGCAGGTAAACAGTCTTGCAGTGACGTCATGATGTTATACGAAAACCCGGAGAACCAGTCCCTCAATGACATTGTCACTCTGCCTCCTTTAAACGTCCGTGTGATGTTACACCACGTGTAATACGCAGTAGTAACTGTTTTGCTGTGTGCCCTTTGACCCCGCAGGGCGGCGGTTCGGCGGTCATCGACATGGAGAACATGGACGACACGTCGGGCTCCAGCTTCGAGGACATGGGGGAGATGCACCAGAGGATGAAAGAGGAAGAGGAAGTGACCGCGGAGGCCGCAGCCACTGAAGACGACACCGCCGAGGACGGCGAGTTCCTGGGCATGAAGGGCTTAAAGGGTCAGCTAGGCCGACAAGTAGCAGACGAGGTGAGTGATGCCACTGCACAGGTGAACTGGCAAGCTGGCAGGAGGAGGAGCCTCAACTCTTCATTCAGACTCACCTGGGTGTGTCTTAGAGTGACCTGTGTGATGCGTTCAGGTGTGTCTCCCGCCTGTGTGATGTGTTCAGGTGTGGCAGGCAGGGAAGCGTCAGGCCTCCAAAGCCTTCAACCTTTACGCCAATATTGACATCCTGCGTCCCTACTTTGACGTGGAGCCGGTGCAGGTTCGCAGCAGGTAGGACCGCCCCTTTCCTGTTACCTGATGCCAACTGATGCTAACTGATGCTTCCTCTTTCCTCTCAGGCTGATGGAGTCTATGATCCCCGTCCGCATGATCAATTTCCCCCAGGTGCGGCTTTCTACTTTGTTTGTTAGAGCCACACAGGGCAGTATTTTCACAATAAGGTGAACTGGTGTGTACTTCCTGTAGAAGATCGCCGGTGAGCTGTACGGCCCTCTGATGCTGGTCTTCACTCTGGTGGCAATCCTGCTGCACGGCATGAAGACGTCTGACACCGTCATCGTAAGCGCACACACACACAGACACACACATAAAGACACACAGAGACGCACTCATACACTCATACACACACACACACACAGGGTAGGAAATTTATATATTATTTAGGTGTACATTTTTAACTTACAAAATGTTTAAGTCACTTTCATGTAAACCAGATTGCTCCATTAGACAAAAACGAATGAAATCAGTTTGTTGGAACAATACAAATAAAGTTGTGCAAAAAACAACTAATATTTATATCTTTTATTTAAAAATAGCTTATTGTAGAACTAAACAGGGCTGTGATTTTTTATAGTGCGGTTTGATCCGTGTTCTCTCCACGGTTTGCATGTCTCAGTGTCCTTGAGCAAGACACTGAAGCCCCAATGCTTTTTTAATTTACTTTTTTTTTAAAGAAAATCTACATTTCCACTCGCCCCCACCTGTAATACCTCCGCGCCCCACAGCTCGAGAACCAGTGCATTTAACGATGGTCGATGACGGAGGCTGGATTTGTTCACAGGTCTGATCAAGAAGCGCTGCTTTCTTTTTCTTTTTTTAATAACGTTTGATTCTTCCTGCACGCGACACCAGTAAAGAATCAAAGCATTCAATGGCAACTGGACCCGGTTATTACAGCTACAATGTTTTTGACAAGTTAACAAAATTGTAATTATGGGGGCATTTTGTGCCCCTTTCCTTGATTTCTTGGGGGCAATTTGGCCCTTTGCCCTCATGTGTGTCCCATGCTGCGCACACACACACACACACACAGAGACACACGCACTCACACAGTCTCACGCAACCTGGTTCTGTGCTGATGAGGTCCACAGTGAGTTGTTAATAACGGTCTTTCTCCTACTGCCTCTGTCTGTGTCTCAGAGGGAGGGGACCCTGATGGGAACGGCTATAGGAACTTGTTTCGGTTACTGGCTCGGTGTTTCCTCCTTCATCTACTTCCTGGCGTATTTGGTCAACGCTCAGATCACCATGTTGCAGATGCTCTCCCTGCTGGTCAGTGACAGTACTGCAAGTCCACAAAGTACAGCGTATTTTAACTACACAAAGTGTCTCCTGTAATTCTGTCACTTCTTGTCGTCAGGGTTACGGTCTGTTTGGTCACTGCGTAGTCCTCCTTGTCACCTACAACATCCACTTCCACTTCCTCTTCTACGTCCTCTGGCTGCTTTGTGGAGGATTGTCTACTCTGCGCATGGTTAGGACGATGTCTCCCGTAGGCCTGGAGTCCCTCAGCTGTGCACTAACCTTTGTCTTTTCACCTGTCAGGTAACCGCTCTGCTGTCCCGGACAGTGGGTCAGACTCCTCGTCTCCTTCTCTGCGGGACTTTGTCTGTCCTCCATATGCTCTTCCTGCTCTACCTTCACTTTGCCTACCACAAGATTGTAGAAGGTCAGAATCCTCATCTCATTTACTAAGGTCATGGTCTCTGCTGTCCTTGACCTTTGTGGACTACGTCCTGGGGTGTTTGGGGGATTCATGAGGAGTTTAACCTGCTTCACCTGAAACGGAATAACCTTTACAACTATCACGATAAGTGATACGTGGGCGGCCGAAGGTTGGCGTTTGGACTCCTGGCTGCTCCACGTCCCGTGTCGAAGGGTCCCTGAGCACGACACCCGACCCCTAAAGGCTCTCTGCTCCCACTGTGTGGGAGGGTTTGAATTAGGGCTGTGAACACAAACACATTCATCTAATTGATTGTGTGGCCAAGATTAAAGTAAATATTTTAACGTAGTTGACGTATCTTTGTTTATCAGAAGTAGACCGCTAGTCCAACATGTTCCACCCGGTGGAATTCTGCCTCCGAGGTGATCAGATGTGTGCAGTTTTGTGTTTAAAATAACATTAACAATAGACAAGTGTCTAAATACACGTTTTCTAAAGTGATTACTCATTACTTTTTTAGATTTAGTCTTTAGAAGAACAAACATTCATTTAAAATATTGTAGCAACAACGACATTCATTCATTAATCGCCATTAATGCATTTCAAAATGTGCAATTAATTAGTTCATTTTTTGACAGCCCCAGTTAAAATGCAATGAAAGGCCATAACGTTGCTCAGCTGACTTCCTGTCTGCGTTTGCGTAGTGAGACTTCTGCCCGACGTTTTCCACCGAACGCGGCCGAGTTCGGTTTTGTCACATCGTGGACTTTTTGAGCCCTTTCTGAACAAGTCATTGCAATGTTCAAGATGTCATAACCAGTGAACACAACAAAAAACATTTAATCAGACAATATTTATTCCTGAAATATAAAATATTTGTGTAATTTTGACAATAAAATAAAACATAATTTAAAATGACCTCATTTTATGAGGAAAGAGCCTGAAAGACGTTTAAATCCGAGAGTAAAGAGTATGAAATAAATACCCTCATTGTAAAATGTATTTCAGCCGTGAAGTGCTGTCCCATTCATATCTAACCACTAATCAGGTGACCTCAGTGAGAAATTAGGATTCGACCTTTCTGCCATTGTGGTTTCAGGGCTCCTGGACTCTCTGGAAGGACCCAACCTGGCTCCCATGCAGCGGGTGGCCAGAGACGTGCCTGAGCTGACCCTGAATGCCACTGTGAGGGGCCCGGGGCCCCTGCTGAAGGCCATATGAGATCCACAACAACATCTTCGTGTCTGACCTTTTTTATCCTTTCTGTCTTTAGTGGTTTTTGTTTTCATTCCAGAAATATTTATAGTTTCTGAACAGAGACTCAAATAAACAGCTATGACCTAAAATACAAGGTTCTCTTACTCCGCTTGGATTTCAATGTTTAATACTCAAATGAATGTTATTCAAATGTCTAATTGCATGATTTTATGCAATTGATTCAATAATAAATTCAAAAGTAGTGTAGTGTGAACTTAAATGTATTTAATGAAATATAAAACCAAAGCTATTTTCCATGGACGGGGCATTCTAGTTTTATCTAGATATGTTGGAAAAATTCTCACTCACTGCTGATGTAAAATCAGGACATGTATTAAATAACACTTACACACAATATATAGATAACACACATACAAGTTGTGCATCAGAGCTTCAAAGGTCTTCTCCGGTTACCTCGGTGCTACTGGCACGTCCAAAGATCTGATTGGTTCAAGGCAATGACAATCAACAATATCCGCCCCACAGACTTTAATGTGCGATGTCTACCTGGGGGCCAACTTCTCAGGTATGAAGTTACCCAGGGCCCATTGCAATATGAACACTGTATTCAATCGAATCCACCTACAGATGATACAAAGTGATCATCACAGATACTTTATTCATGTGTACGTAACCCTGCACGTACAACAAGACTCCAAACAGGCCAACAACTCATGGAACAAATGAGCAAATTTACAGGCTCACGTCAGGCTTATTAACACAAATATACTGTAATCATATTTCACTACGGGGATAAAAAGAGGGAAAAATTGAATTTTGAGAAATAAATAATATGTGGTGGGGGGGATTGGATGTGTGGGGGGAGTGCGTGACTACGGACCAAAATGAGTGACACTTGAGAGCCCTGATACATTAAATAAAAAGTTTAAAAATAAATGATTTGTAGATTTTTAAGTGAACAATAACAAATCTCAAAATGTTTTTGCTCTTAGTAAAGACCCTTGTGGCGGCCTCAGATCCGTGAGGGGGGGCACATCCCATCAGTGGGCTCAGTGCAGAGCCCCTCCCCAGCTACGTTATTAACTGCAGACTAAACTTTACCCTCAAGTCCATTTTGTTGCCCGACGTGCGGCCTGTCAGGTGCTTCCTCTTCAGCAGAGAAAGAACCTGCGAGACAGAATCAGGTCACGTGTAACTCACAGTCATGGCACGTGGTCTGACGTCACCACGCAGAGCGGCATTGCCATCTAGCGCGGGAAACGGCGACAGGACCCCAGGCTCCAACCGGGAGCATGAAGGTGTATTTCTGCGGCAGCATCCGCGGCGGCAGAGATGACGTCCGCGTTTACCGGAGGATCGTCCAGAAGCTGCAGAGCTACGGAAGCGTGCTCACGGAGCACGTGAGCTTCACGGAAATCAGCGAGAGAGGTCTCACACGCGCGTACACGTGCACACACAGGTCGGCGATGAATCTAAGATCAATTCAATTCGTTTTATTTTGTATCGCAAATTCCAAATGAGCCTCAGAGGGCTTTACGGTGTGTACACACGACCGATGAAGACCCTCCACGGGGAGAAAGGGGAAGAAACCTCAGAGGACGATCCGTCTCCTGATGGACAGACTACAGTGATGTCACGAGGACAGAATGTAAACGATGATCAATACATTCAATTCCTATAACGGGTTCAAATAATAGCGAGCAGGTGTACGAGTATATATATTGAATCATACTGACCCGAACCCCAAAAACAATTCCGCCAGCTGCCACTGAACAATCACTTGCTGCTCTTTCATCAAACATGGAATTCACTGACACCACAGAAGAAGCCAGTTGTGACGTCACTGAACTGTGCTGTGGTTGGACAGGAGAGGACGCCTCGTCAGCAGGAGACCGGTCCATCCATGACAGAGACGTGGACTGGTTGCGGCAGTGTGATGGTAATCAAACAATCAATCGCAGGATAGGTCAATCAATGGAGTGATCTGTCAATCAATAGTGATGGATGAATATGACCTTTAACCTCATGTTCCAGTGGTAGTTGCCGAGGTAACCCAGCCGTCTCTGGGCGTCGGCTACGAGCTGGGTCGAGCTGTTGCTATGGAGAAGAGAATATTCTGTCTATTCAGACCGACGTCAGGACGCAGTGAGGACACTTCCTGTTTCCTTCCTTCCTTCCTTCCCTCCCTCCCAATAACATCATAATAATCTCTGCTTCCTGTTTCTTTCTCCCTCTCATGTCCCCCTTCCTGTTTCCTTCCTTCCCTCCCTCCCAATAACATCATAATAATCTCTGCTTCCTGTTTCTTTCTCCCTCTCATGTCCCCCTTCCTGTTTCCTTCCTTCCTTCTTTGTCTTCATTCCTCACTCTGCAATAACAATAGTCTTATGAATTCCCTTTCACAATAAAACTTCCTGTTTCAGATCTTTCTGCCATGATTCGTGGTGCCGCTGATGGCGACGTCTTCGTGGTGAAAGATTACATCGAAGACGAAGTGGAGAACGTTCTAGAGGAGTTCTTCAAACACCTAAAGAACGTTAAATAAAAGTACACCTGAAAACATCTTCCGTTGTTTTTTTTGTGGTTCTACAGACTTGTGATGATTGACAGATAGTGTAACATCTGGAAGGGGGCGTGGCTTCTGACAGCAGCTTAAAGAAAAGTGATTCATTAATAATAAACTACTGACAGAACACAACACGCAATGTTGCTAGGCAACAGGACACACTGATGACACTTTTATCAGCTGCTGAAGGACCAAACTTAACAAAATGAAAACTGCTGAGGGAGGATAAGTATAACCGTTAATATTATTGTACAAAGGAAATATTGTTGAACCGTTGTAGTCTTAGTAGATTCAATCCCTGTTTGTACATATTAGACAATTCTAAAGTATTCGAAGGTAGCAAGGAAAAAGATGATCACATCTCCAATTATATTCAAAGCAGTCATTGAAGTTCCACTTGTCCAGCTGTGAAGTCTATTCATACCCAGAATGCATCAGTCACACACTGTCATTGCAAACTGCTCTGAAATATTAAACACTTGGCTTCTATTTCTCCCTCACAAAGACACCTGACTATTAGAAAGTGAATTATTTAATGCAGCCGCTCGCTAATTAAAGCCGAAGAGGAAAAAGGACGATGGCGAAGATGGTTTGGGGTTTTAAATATTTGAGCAGCTTAGAAAGCAGATCTCCTTCAGCCCGGATACAGATGGTGATCTTTCATTTAGTTTAGGAGGAATGCAGCACGTCTGCAGCGTGAGAAGAACATTTTACATTTGAATAGTTAAACTAAAAAGTGTTATCAGGCCTCAAAGTGACTTTTCACTAATAACTGTGAGGGGGGGGTCTGTGGGGGGTCTGTGGGGGGGGGTCAGCATGACAGAGTTCTAGCTGAGAGCAGTTCGTCCTCACATCTTCTGATGTGGGTTGAACGTTATACATCAGAACATTCTAATGGATATTCAGTCCCGTCCCATGATGAGCGGCCTCAGCAGGATGCAGACAATCAAATGAGACACAGCTAAGATTTCCCATCTTTAGCCTAGCACGAAGCCTGTTAGCTTAGCTTATCAGTACCTCAATTATAAATGAGTCATTAAATGATTGAAACACAATTAAAACACAGACTTGGTGTAAAATATCAAATATTCTTTTAATAGATTCATTCTGCTTTTCTGTTCTGCTGCAAAGGTGTTAATTAAGTTTCATCGTTCGTGTCCCCTCATGCACTCTCATAGCACCTTTACCCATAATGCACCAGTCTGTGATTGGTGCTTGTTGTTAACCGGATCAATTGACTATTCATTTATTGAAAGACGTTCATTGTTATCGATTAGCTGATGAAAGCAGTTCAGATCAATACTGATCAAAGACTGAAGCACTAACTGTGCTGATCAATAATTCCACTTCCTGTGAAAACAGTGAAGAAACTTACGCAGCCGATCAATCAGTGGTCAACGTTCCTCGGTGAGCGTCACAATCAGAGAGCTGTGAAAAATAATCAGTGGATTTAAAGTATGGATCAATATCATAATAATAATTATTAATATTAGTAGTAATAAGTATATTATACTCTAACGACATGAACCTGAACCGTCTCATCTTAAGGCGTTCATGTCAAAATAAAAGCCTGTTTCTCTCACTAACAAGCTTCCATCTCGTCAAACCACATAAAACAAACAAATAATCTGTTAATAATGGATTAATATTCATATAATGAGGGTGAAATAAAAGGTGAGGACCCCAAAACAACTAAACCCTGCAGATCAGGTGACTAAATAATAACATGAAAGGAAATCACAGACGAAAAGACAAAATAAAAGTTTGATCTTCAGAGAGAAAGTGACAGAAAGTGAGACCGAGAGAGAGACAGAGAGACAGAGAGAGAGACAGACAGAGAGAGAGACAGAGAGAGAGACAGAGAGAGAGACAGAGACAGAGAGAGACAGAGAGAGAGAGACAGACCGAGAGAGAGACAGAGAGAGACAGACAGAGAGAGAGACAGAGAGAGAGAGTGTGTGTGTTTATCAAGGTGCCTCTGGTCTCTTCTGTTCTCTTCAAAATAAAAGCTCCGTTTAGGAAACAAGGCTAAGACGTCCATAAAGTTTTTAGTTATAATTCATTATAGTTTCTTTTTTTCTTCTGCTTCGACAGGCGCGCGGCAGCATTCGGTAGACGATGGCTTTATCCTGGATGTGGTCCGTTTCCATGGGAACAGCCGTCAGTCCAGCAGTGTGCCTTGCTCCTGAGCTCGGGTCAGGCTGTCTTTGCGGTGCAGGTGATGCACGCCCATCCTCTTCGGGCTCTTCTGACGACGTTTTGAGGGGGCGGCAGCAGCAAGGGCGGGGTCTAAATCAAGGAGGCGGGGCGAGATGACGGGCAGGTCACGGCTGAGGACGTCTCTCTCCTCAGCAGAGCTCTCCTCCTCCTCCCCCCCCCCCTCCTCCTCCTCCAACTCCACCTCCCTGGGGGGGATTGGTCGGGGTTGTTGCCATGGCGGCCCTCCGTGTTGCCGGCCTCCCTGCTCATCAGCAGCCTCTCCGCCCTCCTCCGGGGAGGGCCTCCGTCCCCGAAGCGCGCCCCCCCCCTTCTGCCGGGGCCGAGGCCTCCATGTCGGTGTCGGTGTCAAGGGCTGGAACCGCGGCTCGGCGTCCAGCTCCGCGCCGATGAGCCCTCCTCCCCGTCCGAGTAGGCCGCCCGGTTGCGCTCGGAGGAGGCTCCGCCCCCTGCGGCCGGCCTCCTCCTTTGCAGCTCCTGTGCCGTATGGCTGCTGAAGGAGGTGCGGTGAAGCGCCAAGTCGCTGGCCGGTGCCACCTTCTCCACAAACATCCGCTGCCAGTTGGCCAGCAGGTCTTCTTCCGAGCTGCCGGAGCTCGCCAGCACGCTGAGCGCCTGAGGGGGAGGGGCTTGAGTTAGTACGCATGCGACAACAAACAGGCTTTGCCCATATACGTGCGTGTGTGTGTCACCTGTGGCGGGCTGCTGAAGGGGCTGGACTGGCCTGACTGTGGCTCACTGCCGATGTCCCGCTGCGACAGCGGCGTGCGGTGGAGGAACCCCCCCCCCGAGGGGGCGGGGCTTGCGGGGGTCGTGCGCTCGTCATCACTCTGCACCAGGCTCAGCGAGATGGCCTGCCGTGTGGCGTATGTGCAGTTGGGCAGCGGCGAATTCTTGGGGAGCTTCACCTTGTCATCCGAGGAGAACTCGATGACCTTGCGACCCGCGTACAGCGGGTGGGGGTGTGGCGGCGCCGGATAGGGGTTCAGCTTGTCAAAGGATGTGGCCACGCCCCCCTCCTCGCCGCCCGACTGCCCGTCCAGGCTGTCCTGACTGCGACAAGAGCCATTCTGCTGAGCCGCCTCTTGGCACTCTGGGGGGGGGCCCGTCATGTCCACGTGCACGAACACGTCCTCGGAGGCGGGCCGGCTGGCGCTGGAGGACTGGGCCGAGTTCAGGACCAGCGGCTCCGGCTTCTCCAGCACGCGGGCGATGACCGAGGTCGGCACCACGTCAGCCGGGGTCAGACTTAGCGTGTCCGGGTCCAGGGCGCCGGGGGCGGAGCCTCGCTCAGGTAGGCTGGTCATGTGTTTGTTGAGCATGTCCTGAAGCTCAGAGGGGAGCTACAACACACACACACACACACACACACACACACACACACACACAGAGTAAGTAAGACGTGGGGGTGACCTGTGTGACCCTATGACCTCTGACCCCCTTGTCCCTGTCCAAAGGGGTCCCTCTGGAGTCCAGCCCTCTTTAATACCTAAATGTGGTCTACAGGCCTTCAACTCTTCTCTAGAACCTCGAGAAGTTCTAAAACAAAGAACTTCTGTTGACCTCCAAGAACCACCAAGAATCTACAGGCGATGACCCCTGACCTTGGATTATTGGGAAAAAAAACTTGTTGAATAAATAAATACTCACATCAGCAAACTTGTGGTTCCTAAAATGTGACTTGTTGCATTTGAGCAGCTGGACAGCAAGATTACAGTCCTGCCTGTACCGCTCCTGAGGAAGAGGGAGACGATGAGGAGTAGAGCAGGAGGAAATAGAGAAGAAGTGGATGTAGAGGCAGAATAGGAAGCAGAGGAGGAAGAAAATAAAGATGGAAGAGGAAATAGAGGAAGTAGAGGGACATTTGGGGTATAGGAGGAAGAGGAAGACAAATTGGAAAAAGAAGAATGTCCATTAACAGATATATTTTAGCAGATATATCTACTCGTACTACATATCCATTAGTATGACAGAGGTAATACTACGGTAGTACTAATACCCGAGTACTTGTACTCACATTGAGCTCCTCGAGGCGGTCAATCGAGTTCTTGGCGTCCAGCAGTTTGTTTGTTAACTCCACGATCTCCTGGTCCATCGTCTTTTTGTCCCTCTCCACCTTCCGTAGCTGTGAAAGGAGCATGAGATGACATCATCAACCATCATGACAGTGAGGCAGCCAATCAGGAGTCTGAGGTGGCAGGAGGCGGGACTACTTCATAAATTATAATAATAATAATTATAAACCAGCAAATCGTTGTTATGATTATTTTTGATATCATTACAATTCTTATTATTTTTATCTTTTTTATTATTAATATGATTTCTATCATAATTTTTCTTCATTGGTATTATCGTTTTCATGGACATCATGGACATCATACGTTTATCAATATTTTTACTTTTGTCATCTTCTCATTTACATTTATTTTTAATAACTATTTATTTTATTATTGCTTTGTTACTAAGTTATTAACCCATAGCATTATATTCTATTTTATTTCTCGTGCACTGTTGTCTGATGTCTGACATATTATGACAATAAATCTTTCCTGATGAATATTAAAATACTGGCGGTTAATACATTTACCATTATTTATATTGTTGTATAATTAACAATCAATAATAATGAGACAAGTTAATAATCATTTTTTTCTTCCAGAATTTCTTTTTGTAGTTCCAGAAACAAAAGAACTAAATAAAACTGAGGATGAGGAGAAAGAACATGAATGAAACGCAACTGCATGAACCCAAGTTTGACTGACAGCCGCCTGATGAAGATGAAGATGAGTCAGTCCATCACAGAGCAGCGTGAGAGAGGAGGAGACAGGAGAAGACGATGAAGGACAAACATTTCAGATAATCGAGCAATGTGATTGGACAGTGAGAATCCATGTTGGAACGACATCATGAAGGATGAGACGAAGGACAGACGGGAGAAAGAGGGGTCAGTCAGGGGGTTACCGTGGTAACAAGGTCAGAAGTACATCCTCATGACAACCATCCTGCTGTCCGTCAACTCCACTTTTCCACAGAAAATCGATTCAAGGCCTGAGAGCGTTTCTTCATTCAGTTACATTTTATCCAGGGAACACACACAGGGCACGCACACGCACGCGCACACACACACACGCCCACGCACTTACCAGAGAATGAAGCTTCTCTTCCAGATCCTGATTGGTTCTTTGAGACGCTGTGTAACTGTTCTGGAGTCTGCAGGATTACAGACAAGTTACAGACGAGTGACAGACGAGTGACAGACGAGTTACAGACGAGTAGACAGACGAGTGACAGACGAGTGACAGACGAGTGACAGACGAGTGACAGACGAGTAGACAGACGATTGACAGACGAGTAGACAGACGATTGACAGACGAGTGACAGACGAGTGACAGACGAGTGACAGACGAGTGACAGACGAGTGACAGACGAGTAGACAGACGAGTAGACAGACGAGTGACAGACGAGTGACAGACGAGTGACAGACAAGTAGACAGGCGATTGACAGACGAGTGACAGACGAGTAGACAGACGAGTGACAGACGAGTGACAGACGAGTGACAGACGAGTGACAGACGAGTAGACAGACGATTGACAGACGAGTGACAGACGAGTGACAGACGAGTGACAGACGAGTGACAGACGAGTGACAGACGAGTGACAGACGAGTAGACAGACGAGTAGACAGACGAGTGACAGACGAGTGACAGACGAGTGACAGACAAGTAGACAGGCGATTGACAGACGAGTGACAGACGAGTGACAGACGAGTGACAGACGAGTAGACAGACGAGTAGACAGACGAGTGACAGACGAGTAGACAGACGATTGACAGACGAGTGACAGACGAGTAGACAGCAGTGACCCAAGGAGCTTCATCATCACAAGTGAAACCGGTCTGATCCTCACCTGCGGAACTTGTCCCTCATCTTGTCCAGGTCGTCTCTGGTCCGGCTCAGCTCCGCCTCCATGTAGTGACGGCTGCTGTCAAATTCCGCCTCCATGGCCTCCATCTTGTGGGTGGAGAGAGAGAGGCAACGTTGTAGATCCTCATTCTGCTGCTGGAGGATTCTGGGTAATGGGAGGAGCATTCAACGGTCAGTGAGGTCATAACAGGAATTGGGTCTTTCAGGGTAGATCCCAAGCAGAGAGACAAGGGTGAGGAGGCAGAAGGGAAAGCTACATCTTAGAGCCAATTGTCTAACTTTTTAATCTACGACAATACAATGAAAGTGATCATAATGTCAGCTGGTGAAGCTTGGTGGACAATAATATGTCTAATAAAACATTGATTCTCACCTGATCCGCTCAGAGTCTGAGAATGTCTCCTGTAACACATCAAACTGATGTCAGTCTCACGTACGAATACACACAGACGTATATTCATATATGATTTGGGAGGGTGTCATCACACGGTGTGTTTTAAATACACACAAGATGTGAGAACAAACTGCTGTTAATTGTAACTTTTCTCAGGTAACACAGCCATGCTGTCCGCCAGGTGATGGACAATTTTGTGTTGATCCATTACATAAAACCCCAAAGAAATACATTTGAAACTGTGTTTTTACCATGACAAGACGTAGAAAGTCCAAAGGGGAGAATACTCATGCGAGGCTCTGTGTATGTTCAAGTCTTTCATTGTAAGCACAAAACTGCGTCTCTCAATGTCTCAAACGTCAGAACTCCAAGCTGGCTCGTTGCCCAGGTGACGTCATCTTCATCACCTGACCCGCTGAGGCGGAGCCTAAGGACCCTCAGCAGCCTTACAGGAGTACTACACCTTGGTGGACGGTCACAATTGGATTGGAACCAGGAGGAGGATCCAGGTACAATGTTTTACAAATAATCTCATTATATATAAAAAGTATCCATCACTAAGTGAATAAACAACTTGAGTTGCTTTTCCTGGATGCTGCTCTTATCTAACTGATCACAACCATTGATCATAGGACTGATCACATGACCCGTCGGTGATGTCAGGTCCTCCTGGGTCACAGATAGTCTCCCAGAATGCACCACGTTTTTATACAATGGAACTTCTCAGCTGATCAATTGCCTACAGGGACATGAAATCAATGACTCACTGCTAACCGGCCAATCAGATCACTGCGTTCTGCAGCTTCCTTCTCAGATAATTTGCTATGAACTGTTTCTCTGCTTTCTGAAGTTTATTACTGCCGACCATCGGTTCATCCCCTGACCTTTCTACTGTTGCATTCTGGGTATTGTGAGCTATGAAGATGGTTTTCCACATTATTATAACCAGAAAACCTGGTAATATTTTGCAGAGCAGTTTGAGAGGAACCAGTCATTTTATACGTTAGCATTAATAATAAACCAGGAGAGGATAATGGTGGTGCCCGCTCCCCCGACCTACCTTGGCGTGGGACAGAAGACACCGATTAGATGCAGGAGGTCTGTGTTTTTGCCTTTGTGGCTCCCCAGTCTCTTGAACCAATATCTTTGCTCCTCTATTCACCCTCCACGCCTCCTCTTTATGCCCCGCCCCCTCTGTGACTCTCCCTTGCCTCCCGGGCTGCTGCATTGCTGCCACCCAGTCGTTCCAGCGCCGGGTCCGGTCGGTGGGCGGTCCCTCCGCACACTGCTTTCTGTGGGCTGGGCTTCCGTGGCGCTGGGCGGGAAGGTTTCCTCGCTCGCTGTAGGACGTCCTCCCGAGCAGCGTCAGGTGGGCAGGACTCAGGACGCTACAGGTGATCTCGTCCAGGAAGTTGGAGAAGCGGACCTTGTCCTGCAGAACCTGTGTCTTCCAGTTCCAGTCGGTCCCGCGTGGGGGGGGGTCCGAGGAGCGCCGCAAGGCGGGTGCCTGCTGATCCCACCGGTCCAGAGAGCAAGTGGGCGGCTTGAGGGCGGTACCGTCACGACTCCTGCTGTCATCCAGCAGCTCCTCGGACCGTGACTTTCTGATGAAGTCATAGGCGTGAGCCAAACCCGGCGGCTTCAAGATCCCCTTGGGAGGCGTGGTGGTCTGGTGAGGCAGGTGGGCAGGCCTCTGCTGCGCCGGGGAGCCTTCACTGTGGCGAGGACTCGTGGCAACGCCCACCGCCGCGGTTCTAGCCCGGCTCCGGCTGAAAGGCGGTGGAGGCGTGATGCAGAGCTCTACACTGGAAAGACTGGAGACATCAAGCTCGCTGTCCGAGAGCGGCGAGCTGGCGGGGGGGAGGCGGGCGAGGCGCAGTGGCAGGAATGGAGGTGTGTTTAGGGGGGGTTGGTTTACCTGATTGATGTCGGGGTGCGGCGCAGGTGGAGCTACGGGCGTGGTGCGGCGCTGCTCGCGGTGCTGGGGCGGAGCCTTCCGATACGGCTTCCTGGGCGGGGCGGCGCTCGTCATCCTCGGACTTCTTCTGCGATCGGTCAGCAGAAGAAGAGTTAGAATATACGACGCCGATGTCCGCCACCAACCTCTGAGCACAGCGCCTCAACAACAACTGGACTGCTCTCTGTGTCTCTCCCCAAGTGTGTCAATCTATGTAGTGTGTGTGTGTGTGTGTGTGTGTGTGTGTGTGTGTGTGTGTCTGCCTCAGGCAACACATTGATCTCAAACTGTTTCCAGAACAGGAAGTGCTGCTCAATTGATATCAATGAGGTTATCGTTAGCATGTTAACATTAGCAAAGCTAACTTTACAAACAGTAAAGGCAGACTACTGGTTTCTACTGGTCTGATGTGTCTGCTGGTTTCCACTGGTCTGATGAGTCTGCTGGTCTGATGAGTCTGCTGGTCTGATGAGTCTGCTGGTCTGATGTGTCTGCTGGTTTCCACTGGTCTGATGTGTCTGCTGGTTTCTACTGGTCTGATGTGTCTGCTGGTTTCTACTGGTCTGATGTGTCTACTGGTCTGATGTGTCTGCTGGTTTCCACTGGTCTGATGTGCCTGCTGGTTTCCACTGGTCTGATGTGTCTGCTGGTTTCCACTGGTCTGATGTGTCTGCTGGTTTCTACTGGTCTGATGTGTCTACTGGTCTGATGTGTCTACTGGTCTGATGTGTCTGCTGGTTTCTACTGGTCTGATGTGTCTACTGGTTTCTACTGGTCTGATGTGTCTACTGGTTTCTACTGGTCTGATGTGTCTACTGGTCTGATGTGTCTACTGGTTTCTACTGGTCTGATGTGTCTACTGGTCTGATGTGTCTGCTGGTTTCTACTGGTCTGATGTGTCTACTGGTTTCTACTGGTCTGATGTGTCTACTGGTCTGATGTGTCTACTGGTTTCTACTGGTCTGATGTGTCTACTGGTTTCTACTGGTCGGATGTGTCTACTGGTTTCTACTGGTCTGATGTGTCTACTGGTCTGATGTGTCTGCTGGTTTCTACTGGTCTGATGTGTCTACTGGTTTCTACTGGTCTGATGTGTCTACTGGTCGGATGTGTCTACTGGTTTCTACTGGTCTGATGTGTCTACTGGTCTGATGTGTCTACTGGTTTCTACTGGTCTGATGTGTCTACTGGTCTGATGTGTCTACTGGTTTCTACTGGTCTGAAGTGTCTACTGGTCTGAAGTGTCTACTGGTCTGAAGTGTCTACTGGTCTGATGTGTCTACTGGTCTGATGTGTCTACTGGTCTGATGTGTCTGCTGGTTTCCACTGGTCTGATGTGCCTGCTGGTTTCCACTGGTCTGATGTGTCTGCTGGTTTCCACTGGTCTGATGTGTCTGCTGGTTTCTACTGGTCTGATGTGTCTACTGGTCTGATGTGTCTGCTGGTTTCTACTGGTCTGATGTGTCTACTGGTTTCTACTGGTCTGATGTGTCTACTGGTCTGATGTGTCTACTGGTTTCTACTGGTCTGATGTGTCTACTGGTTTCTACTGGTCGGATGTGTCTACTGGTTTCTACTGGTCTGATGTGTCTACTGGTCTGATGTGTCTGCTGGTTTCTACTGGTCTGATGTGTCTACTGGTTTCTACTGGTCTGATGTGTCTACTGGTCGGATGTGTCTACTGGTTTCTACTGGTCTGATGTGTCTACTGGTCTGATGTGTCTACTGGTTTCTACTGGTCTGATGTGTCTACTGGTCTGATGTGTCTACTGGTCTCTACTGGTCTGATGTGTCTACTGGTCTGATGTGTCTACTGGTCTGAAGTGTCTACTGGTCTGAAGTGTCTACTGGTCTGATGTGTCTACTGGTCTGATGTGTCTACTGGTTTCTACTGGTCTGATGTGTCTACTGGTTTCTACTGGTCGGATGTGTCTACTGGTTTCTACTGGTCTGATGTGTCTACTGGTCGATGTGTCTGCTGGTTTCTACTGGTCTGATGTGTCTACTGGTTTCTACTGGTCTGATGTGTCTACTGGTCGGATGTGTCTACTGGTTTCTACTGGTCTGATGTGTCTACTGGTCTGATGTGTCTACTGGTTTCTACTGGTCTGATGTGTCTACTGGTCTGATGTGTCTACTGGTTTCTACTGGTCTGATGTGTCTACTGGTCTGATGTGTCTACTGGTCTGAAGTGTCTACTGGTCTGAAGTGTCTACTGGTCTGATGTGTCTACTGGTCTGATGTGTCTACTGGTCTGTGTTCCGTGACCCTCACCTGCTGTTGCTATGTTTTATAATCTAGAAAGAGTCAAGAAAGTTGGCATGAACATGCAATTGGCTTTTTTCTAAAATCTGAATGTGTACATACTAATATGTTAGCATGCTAATGTCAACAGAGCATTTTAACATTATTATAATATAAATGACCACAGCCAGAAGCTCACACTGAGGCCCGATGCAATGGTAAAATGGCCACTGCAGCACTCTTTCCTAAAGAGTACACTGAACCAGGACCGACAGAAGTCCATCATTTACAGACATCCTGTCGCCATGACAACCAACTAAAGTCAACACTGCAGCCGTGTTGTTCCACCTGAGCCCCCGTGTTCATGGAGTCTCAGCTGAGTGTGTGTGAATACATGGTCACCTGGTACGTCAGCACCGGACACTCTTCATCCTCTCTGCAGCGTTGGTCCTCACACTCAAGAGCTCTTCCTCCTCTGAGCCTCGTCTTCAGGACCTGAAGCACAGGACACCAACAAGGAAAAACAAACCGTCAGTGGCTGAGATTCACTTGAGGAGTCAGAGCGAACCTCACTACACGTGAGCACACACCGCGCCGCAGAATGAAGGTGTTGGTAATCTGAAGGTCAAACTGCAGCAGATGGCATGCTGGGAAATTGATCACTGCTCAGGGAAAACCAAAGGGCTTATCAACCGTCGGATGGAACTTCTCGTTAACAAAGATCAGCTTTGGGAGTGACTGACATCCAATCAGAGAGCGGTCACCAGCTCTTCATACACATAATCCTCTCTGAGCAGAGATAAACCTTCTTTAATGTAATCCCATCTCTCTCTCTCTCTCTCTCTCACACACACACACACACACACACACACACACACACACACACACACACACACACACACAATTGTAAAGTATAATATAAAACATCAATCAATCATCAATTGTCATAGCTGGGGAAAGCTGATCAATCAATAAACATCTTTGTGAAAGTAGTAGCACCATGGTGGCCTGTTAGTCCAGATGCATTGTGGGCTGTCAGAGTGAGACATTACCCAGAACCCTCCTGTCCTTTGTTGGAGTGGTTGAGGTTTAAATGATTCATGGATGATTTATATTAGATAATCGTAAAGGACACGTCTCTTTTGTCTAACATGAATAAAACATCAACATTTCACTTCTCCTCCATCCTCGTTCTTACCTTTTTCGTCTCCTTCATCACCTCCTTGCTTCCTTCATATTTACTTCTCTCCTCTCTCCTTCATTTCCTCCCCCCACCTCATATTTCCTTCATGTGCTCCATTTTCTTTTTCCTCCTCTCATTCACTACCTCCTTCTCCTTCATTCATGTAGTCACTTTGTTGCTGACATCACAAAGGACACACATTCTCACACTGTTACCTGGCAACAGTAGAGCTCTAGCTATGGCAGGGACTGGAAATAAGATTAATACATTAATAGCGACTCACATGTTATTAGAAAAGAGAAATCATTCCGTTAAGAATTGTTTCTGTATCACAGCTGATATCTCTGAGCCACGAGTACCAGATGTGCTTCAGAGGGAGCCAGAGGTCACACAGGAAGTCAGGCCGCTTAGAGTACATATGTCAAATCCGCTCCGCCGTGGCGTCCTGTGCGGCCCGCTGCCGAAGCCGGCGCGGCCTGCCTGATGACCCGCATTCGATCGAAGTGGGCAGTATCTGCCCGGGTGTGAAACCCCTGGCTTAGAGCGACACATCAACATGGGAGTGTTTCCTTCTGACGGTTCCTCCCTGGCTGGATTGGAGTAGTCGTTTTGCTTAGGAAGGGTCCTAACCGAATTAAATTACCCAGAAGTAGTCTGGATTCGAATTGTCGAAAAAACACCTCATCACGTCTATTCCTAACCATTTTTCCTTGACCTCTGTGGAAAACGTCACGGAGGTCAAGGAAAGATTGACCTCCGATTATCAGTCTCTCTGAGTTCCTCAGGGTTCCGTCCTGGGTCCCCTCCTCTTCTCTCTCTACACCAACTCTCTCTGCTGGATTTGACACAGTAAACCACCAGATCCTTATCTCCTCCCTTCAGGAACTTGGTGCCTCAGGCTCTGCTCTCTCCCTTCTCTCGTCCTACCTCGACGGCCGCACCTATCGGGTAACCTGCGAGGATCTGTGTGGGAACCTTGTCCTCTTACTACTGGAGATCCTCAGGGTTCCGTCCTGGGTCCCCTCCTCTTCTCTCTCTACACCAACTCTCTCTTCGCTCACATGGCTTCTCCTACCACAGCTATGCTGATGACACACAACTAATTCTCTCCTTCCCTCACTCGGATCTCTACCTGTCTGACTGACATCCCTCAGTGGATCCGCCCACCATCTGAAAATCAACCCCGACAAGACTGAACTACTTCGCTTTCTGGGAAAAGATTCTCCTTCACAGGACCTGACTGTTAACTTTGAGACTCCGTGTTAACGTCCACTTTGACTGCAGGAACCTCGGCGTGACGTCGACAGCCGACTCTCCCTGACTCCAACATCACTGACAACACCATCCTGTAGATACTCGCTCTGCAATCAACGGTTCCCAATCTTTTTAGGCCATGCACCCTCTCCATCCCAACTGGGTTTGTGCACCCCCAATCACCCACACTTAAGAAGAAAAGGTCTGTATAGCTGCATTAAAATGGGACCAATGACAGAACAGTTTTAATATTTAGTCCGCAAAGGAGCAACTGCAACATTGGATCATATTAATTCTGAATCAGGACAAAGCAGAAAAACTACATAAATACTCTGAAACACTGCAACTACGTTTCAATAAACTCCAGTTACGTCACTTTAAAGGAGCAAAAAGAAAGACGAGGACACTCGCACAGTCTCAGAGGCAGATTGCATCATATTCTATTTATAATTAACCATACATAGTGGCTAAATTATTTAAAATGAGTTACACATCATGCTCATCACAGGTAGGGGAATTTGATATGACTTAAACACAGTAAACCACGTAAAGAACAAATAGTGGCACATGCGTAGTCTCACAAACAGATATGAATAAAAGGAGGCGTCCAGAGAGAGAGGGAGAGGGAGAGAGAGGGAGAGAGGGGGAGAGGGGGAGAGGGGGAGAGGGGGAGAGAGGGAGAGAGGGAGAGAGACAGGGGGGGAGAGAGAGAGGGAGGGAGAGAGAGGGAGGGGGGAGAGGAAGAGGGAGGGAGGGGGGGAGAGAGGGAGAGAGAGAGGGAGGGGGGAGAGGAAGAGGGAGGGAGAGGAAGAGGGAGGGAGGGGGGAGAGAGGGAGAGAGAGAGAGGGAGGGAGAGAGGAAGAGGGAGGGAGGGAGAGAGAGGGAGAGAGAGGGAGAGAGAGAGAGGGGGAGGGAGAGGGAGAGAGGGAGAGGGAGAGGGAGGAGAGGGAGGGGGGAGAGAGGGAGGGGGGAGAGAGGGAGGGAGAGGTAACGTTAGCGAGTAAGAGACGAGTATTAACTCCATTTCTATCTGTGTTGCGACTGAGAACTTCAGTTTCCTGAGTGTTTTATAAATGTTAGCGGACACAAACTAGGCAAACGTTAGCTAATGTGTACGTAAGCTGAAGTGTATTTATTTACTAAATTGTACATTTTTTTATTTTTAATCTTAAATCTTGCAACGGGTAGTTTTATAATTCATGTCTGTTTTGTGTAAAAACCCTATTGATTTTTCACAAATGATATTTAATATGAATTATTAGTCCTGCTCTACAACATGAGGAGAACACGTCTCAGGTCCTGATTCTGGCTCTTATCAGGTCTCCTGCTGCCGCCACCCGACCTCTGCTGCTCATCCCTCCATTGTGGGACGGAATAGAGAACCGATTAGAATAGAACAGCTCTCCTCATGGCGCCACTTACTCCTTCACTCAGTGAGGAACCGTCCTGAGCAAAAAGGACTATTCCACATCAGCTGTAGTGTAAGTGGCCACCACGATAGGAGCTGTTCTATTCTCTAATGCTAAGGAAAGGAGCTCCAATGCTCCCTTACTTAGCTCCTTTAGCAAAGGAAAGGAGACTATTCCGTCCCACGGTGGCACGATCAAGTTCAATTAACAAACGTACAGTTCCCAAACGGGTTTATAATGTTTATCAAAAATCTATTCATGGTCTCTGGTGCTCGCAAAGAGTCTGATGTTCTCTGATGGACCCTCTGAGTTTCTCATGGTCTCCAGTGTCTCCCCTAGTTATAATGGGTTGGGGGGGGAAACATTGGCCTCTGATGGTCCCTATAAGTCTCTGAGACTCTGGTGGTCTCGAATGGTCCTGGGGGTCCCGAAGTAAGTAATCCCGCCTTGTGATTGGCTGTTGAGTGTGATAAAGGTGTGACCCGAGTAAAAACAGCTCTCTGACGGGGACAAACCACGACGACGGACACAGCGGGGATCGGTCTCCCCAACACCGGGGAGAACCGAGCCTGAACACCGGGACTTACCCGCCGCGGGTCTGACTGTGGCCCAGTTCACCGAACAACAATCTGCACCCGGACTGTCGAACCGAATTAACGTAGCCGGTCTGCTGGTGACACACTGCTCGGACCGGAAGTGAAGATCACTCGGGTTCAGCTTACCTGCGAGGCTCGGTCCCGGTTCTTCACACAACCAAGTACCGGAGAGCGGAGAAGGGACGAAAGTTTACCCGGAGCTCTGGTGTGTTCTTCGGGTTGGGGGCTCCGATCCGATTAAAGAACGGTCCCAAGGAGATCCGGAGCAGCGGGCGGGTGGAGGCGGAGCAGCCGGGGGAGACGCATCGACCGACGGGAAAAAATCCACTCAAAGCCGTTTGGATAAAGTTGATCTGGTGCTGTGCTCCGCTGTCGCCATCTTTACCCGCGGGGCATGACGGGTAATCCTTAGGAATCCCGCTCCCCTCCACCCCCCTTCCCTCAACCGCGATCCTGTCAGACGTCCAGCGCGCTGACGTCACACACAGACTTTAATGTTGATGGAGAAATGTCTTAAAACATGTTATAAGACAAGTTTCTGAAGAATGAATTATTCTCTCTAAGAAATACCAAATACTATGTCATGTACAAAACCCCTCAGACATAGAGACAGAGATACAGAGGGCTTCATTCAGTTAAACAGTACACATCTTCAAACCTCATTGCTGCAGACTGCACAGAATAAAAAAAGGTAGAAATCAAAATAAGAAAATAAGAATGTTACCAAATTGAGAAGAAAAAGATTTTGGGGGACACTCAGGAACATATTTCCAATGCAGTGCACAGCACTTTTACTTACTTTTACTTCAAACAGCATTTGAGTCTTTATACAAAACTAAAAAATAGGGTTTTGTTTTGTAAACACTTTGGAAAATATTTTTAACAAACTGATGACATATACTATTTCTCTCAAGTTATTTCACATTGCAAAATAACCCAAACACAAAATTCCAAAATTCCAGTGCAGGTGGTATAGATGTTGAGTCCCTCAGTCTCGTCTGCAGCAACTAAAACGCACACTGATTTCAGAAGTAAAGGAAAATCCTCTCTTCTGATTGAGATAAACTGTTTGTGTGTGTTGCATGATGGGAGATCTATGTTAAGGAATGACATACACCCATCCGGCCTTATTTTCTCAACCAATCAAATTGTCTTCTCACTGAAGCTCACACACGTGTGTACACACACGCGCGCACACACACACACACACACACACACACACACAGCTGTTGAACAGATTATTGTCTCCCTGCAGAGCGGAAAGACGGAGACAATGTCCAGCTGCTCCATAACAATGCAGATCCCCCTCTGTCCTCTGATATGGGAGCTATGGGAGCTATGGAGATCATGTCACTGGTTTGAGTCCCATCAGCTGCTTGTGTCTCTCTGACGGCTTCAGAGCCACAATCAGAAGAATCAGAAGCATTTCATGTCATTTATTCACTCGTTAAACTCACAATGTTGTCAGATTAAGTTTGATATTCGTGTTGTTGAGGGTTGTGTCTTCTGACACACTCGTCTCCTCATGTCCTCTTCTCCTCCCTCCTCCTCTTCTGTCCTTCCTCGATCAGTTGAAACAGGAGTGTCCACACAATTTCAAGAGACAAAGTGGACA